TATCGAAAAAAAAATTATAAGAAAAAATGTCATAGGGGTTGATTATTTCAACCCCTTACAAAAATAGTTCAGGGTTGAAAAAAATTCAAAAAGTGTAGTTTTATTGACAGATAATGTTCACCAAGTTTGGTTTCTTTAGCTTGATGTACGTGGAAGATAAAAAAGAAAAACTATTTTTTTTTTGTAATTTTAGGAGGGGCGTAACTTTTCAGGGAAGGGTTTTTTCAAAAAATTTTATACCAAAGACCCCTATTAATTTTCATCGGAGAATCGCCCCTTGAATTTTTTCGGTGTTATTTAGATACATCCTGTATATTAAAAAACCGCCGAGTTGCCGTTTTTTTTTTATTTTGTAACTTAATAGTCTGAAATTTACGCAAACGAGAGATAATATAATTACCTTTTGATCCTTTTTTACCGAATTTCGATATCTTGACCTGAGCAGAAGACATACGCGCTTGCATTTTCGACTTTATAATTTTGCCATTTTGAAGAGCACCCCAACAGTTTATCTTTTCCTGTAGTGCCATCCAATTTCAGTCAAATATTTATCACATTTTTTTTAACCGCTAATTTTGCGAGCTTTCACAAAAGCCTACTCTTGTAGCAAATTTCGTCAAGAACAAAATCGATAAGTATACCTCATGTCGATTAGGCACTTATTTTCGGAGATATAAATTAAAAACTGAAATTATTTTTTTCTTTTATTATAAACAATATGACGATCGACCTCAATTTAGGCTTTTATTCAGTGTATTTTTTACTTAATTTTAAGCCTACAAAATTCGAGGTTGGCCCGATTTTTTATGAAAGTTTAATGGCGACAACTAATCTCAGTATTTTGATTTATTCAAGAGATACCGGGTTATCTCCATTTTTGACCATTATTGAATTCTGTAAAATATCCGTTCAAATGATATATCGTACATGATATTTATGCAATTGTTTCTTCATACAATTAAGGATTACATGGGTTGTATTCTGTAATTTTCTTACAGTGCTCTGACTTTATAGCCTCAAAAAATATCACAAGACAAAGCGTAACATTTACAGAAACATTTATGATTGATTTTTTGAGACACTTTAAATAAATCTGATTAATACTTTTTGCTATATTGTTAACGACAGTTACTAAAAAAAATTGTAAAATTTTAAGGTTATCGCTTGATTCGCTTGTAGTCGCCGTAGCATGTTACAGAATAACACCACAGTATGAAATGAAACTGAATATATCAAAAATTAAGCCATGCCAATATTTAAACCAACTTTTTACATTTGTCGGTGCAGAATTTAATTAAGCATATTCGCGAACGTATGACGTCATTATATGATGAAGAGTACACAATAATACACAGTGGTTACTTAGGAGCTTAACTAAAAACTGAATCTTACAATTTTTCCACAGCTGTTTTATGCTTAATCACAGAATATCCTAGTAGTTAGGATCTTCAATGGCTTAATGTTCATCTTTGCAAAACAAGCCTCTAAGTTTACATGTCATTATGGTTACAGAAATGAATTATTGAGATATGGCGATAAAAATATAAGTGACGTCATATTTAATCGCCAAAATAATATTTTTTGCAAAACCACCACCCAAATAACGCTCATTTGTAACAGTCCGTGTTTGAATGGAAACAAAAACGCTTCAAACTAAAAACAGGGCATTTCTTTTTCTCTTATTCTCCTGGAAGTGACTATAGTTGCAGACTTGCGGGAATTAACCTATACTTTGCCGGTAAACTATTTGTTAACGTTTTGTATTCGTACGAACCAATCCAATAACTATTATAATAAAAAGTTATAGCGGTCGTTCTGTGATTCCCTCGCTTTGTTTCTAGCTATTTTGGGTACGTGTAAATCCCCCGTGTTATTATAATTGCTTCACAGAAGCGATATCTATCGTTTAAAACTGCAACGCGAGCATTTTTGTTGCATTTGTGTGTGAATGCATAAGATATTGCACAAGCACGCAATTTGATAGTGTATCGTTAAAAGTGTTTTGTCTGGAAGGTTTTCGTCTTATTTTTCTGCAATGGTAAGCCATATTGTTAAGTAATTATGTTTTAATTGAATTTTAACGCGACTAATAATGTTTTGTCGATTTTAACGTGTTGCAACGAGGCAGATACTGAATTTTTATGTTGAATTCGTATTTAAGATTCCAGTTTTTATACATATTTACGAGTACATAGTAAGTTTTTATTTCTTTTTCGTAACTAAACGAAGTTTTGCGATTTTTGGACAATTTTAATTGAGGTTACATTCCAACTTTTTAATGCTTTTCTATTACGAAGCATTTCGGTTTAAAAAATGATTGTTTAAATTTGTTTGTAGGTAGTAATAGTATCTTATTATCTAAAAATGATAATGATAATTGCAATTTTAGGTAATTACTTATAAAAATTAAAAAAGGTATAACGGCAAAAGATAAGATAAACTGTTATGTTATACGAATACTGCAGAGATAAAATTGTGTTTAATTAAAGAAAATTGTTCTCTAACTTTTTCACTTGCACTGAAATGTGGTGATTTTGCTGCCCATTCCCTTTTCGTAAACAAAAAAATTCGTTTTTGTGCTTTTAATGTTCGTGTCAAAACAAAGAAACTGACGTTAATCCAAGTTTCAAACATTTTGCTTTGTAAAATAGATCATTTTAAAGACTTTCAAATAAATGTTTCTCAATGTCTTTCAAGTTTAAAAAACAATTGAAAATGTAACTGTGAGATAAAGCGTGTTGATTTTAATAATAAAATATTTAAGTATATCAAAGTAAGCCCTGATGAAATTGACACGCCCAAACGTTTTTCTTTTTTTCTTATAAAAACAATAGAGATGGGTATGGACACTAGATTGTGAAACAGCCGCCTTTGATATGTTATTAATTCTGGGATCTAACTGTGACATTGTTCGGTACAAGTTTGGCAGTCCAATTAAGGAATATTCTTTATAGAAATAAAGTTCAGAAAAACTAAAACATCTGCATTCTATCTACAGGGTGTCCAAGCTCTGGTAATATCAGTAACCGAGAAAAAAAAACGTCCCAAATAAAAGTTACACCAAATCTTTACATTTTAAAATTTGCAATTATACAGAGCATCACATTTTTTTAATGGGAGATATTGTGCACTATTTTATTGTATTTTTGAATTTCTAGTTAAATCTAAGGCTAAGATCGATTGTCAAATATTGGGCCTGTAAAATTTAATTTTCTTTCATTTTATTTTGAAACAGTATAGTCTATTTCTTGTAGTTTGTGATATAATCACGGTTTTTGATGTTTTGTTTAGAAAACTATTTATAAAAATGTGCAAATAAATTTTTTGTCAAAGCAACCATAATTTTTATGGAAACATGATCACATTAAATCTTCACATATAAAATAATAAAACACACAAAACACTTTGTTTAGTTTGATTAAAAATATTATTTCTCATCTTAAGGCTACTCCTGCGAGTCAAAGCCCCACTCCTTCGACGTCCGGAATAAAAACGCCTCGTGCTATCGGGAAAAGTCAACCTGCGACGAACGACGAAGAAGAGTTTACGTTACGCTGTTTGGACATAATCGCCAAAATCGCAGCGATACTGAAGACCGACAACAATGGATTTATTACCATAGTGGAAAAAATGTTGACCCTTGTCCATAGGGAGCAAGGCGAGAAACGGTTAGCTTACAAGTTAATTTTTAAATTGACGTATTTATTTGGACGTTTCTTTTTAGGAAGCTAACATACAGTTTGATCGAAGACGTGGTGTCCAATATCCTGGAAGCAGACAAAGACGAACTGGTAGCGGCTAAGGCACATTTCGAGAGTAATGCGTTATTTTATATTTGAATTTTACTTTTCAACACTTTACATGTGAAATTTTTTAATATACTTCACTTACTTTTCTATTCCTAATATCGTTAATCATTAAGATTGGCGATGCTTTTTTTTGATTACGTACAAAATAAAAGCGTGGAACAGCTTATTTTTGAGATTTGGTGTAACAAAAACTATTTTTTTTTTCTGTTAGAGATCTTTTCCCAAAGAAACTTCAAAGACATACTCGTCCAAGAAGACAAGCTGGTACGACTAGGTCCTTTAGGTACGTCAAATTCCTATTGTCATCTCTTTAGAACTTACTTACATTCAAATAATTCGTCGAGTTGCACAAAAACCTTTTTTTGTTCGATTAAACTTAAACGTCAGTTTTTACCACAGGCGAAGGAGGTTTTAGCTACGTCTTGTCCGGAGAGCTACACCAAAACGGCTCTTACAAAAGCGTAGCGATTAAGAGAGCCAAGAGTTTCCAATACAACTACATCATAGATCACGAAGCGACGGTACTTTCTCAACTGAAGCACAAGAACATCTTGAAGCTGTTCGGAAAGCACGAATCCGAACCGGAAATCGTTTTGGAGCTGATGGACTTGGGGAATCTGGTGTCGGCGGTAGAGGTGAGAAAATAAGTATTTGGACTACGATTAATGAACACAAACAATAGTAAAAATGTTGTATACACTTTCCAGCCCAGTCGTGTCAGTGCTTGTCATAAGCGTACGAGCGTATTCAGTCCTACCAATCTGTTGTCTAGGAATTTTGCTTTTTTTTTAAAACTTTTTCGTGATTTTCTTCCAAATTATAGAACATCAAGAGCGTCGGTTTTGGATCAACCCGTTTTATTTCTGACAGTAATATAATTTCTCGGTCATATTTCAGCAAATCCGTTTCACCGGCGGAAACCTGCTGCGGTTCCTAGAAGACGTCGCTAGCGGCATGGAATACATGGGTGAAAAAAAATACCTACACAGGGACTTGGCTTGCAGGAACGTGTTCCTCAACAAAAGGAAGCAGTGCAAAATAGGCGATTTCGGGTTCGCCGTTTATGTGGGAAAGTCCAACGGGGTCTACGTGGAGAAGGTACTTAATATTTCTCATTTAATGCTAGTAATGTCTTTTGTCTTTGAGATAACGTCAAGAGATTTTTTTAAGACGTTTTTGCGTTTTCAGGTCTTCAATCCCCACGATTATAACATGTCCCCGGAAACGTTCAATACTAAAGCCTTCACGATGCCGAACGACGTATGGGCTATGGGGATATTATGCTGGGAACTCTTCTATATCACCGAGCACTGCAACGAGATACCGCCTTCTGCTTTCTCTAAAAAACAACACCAGGCACTGTTCCAGGTCAGAAAGATACAGTAAGGGTTGTCCGTTTTAATCGTACCAGGCGTTTTTAACAATGTTTCCTTTGTCTAGATTGCCTAAGGCAAAAATCTGCCCGGACAACTTGCACAGGTACATCGTGAACGATATGCTGAATGAAGATCCAAAGCAGCGACCGAGTTTTACGTCTATAAGAGAGAAAATCAAAGAAATCGCTTCCAAATAAGCGAAAAGTTTGTTTATTTTCTTGATTTTCAGTATTAATTTGCCTTCCAAGGTTTCTACAGAGTTTATAGTTTATTTTGTTAAATGACGAATATATTTTGAAACATGTTGTATTATTTCCTAGCATATCGTTTAATTTTGTCCTTTGGTATTGCAAAAACGCAGTTGAAATGCGATACATATAACCTTTGCACGTTTTTTTCTGATCATTGCGAAAACAGTCTACTGAATTTTTTTTGCGAAAACAAATGAATAAAGGCAAAAAAGTTCAATGTTGATAGACTAGACGAAATTACCTCATTTTCAGGGCCATTTGAATGACAAATCTCCCTTTTAAACTCGGCAGGTTGGTATGTCGTCAGGATAGCAAGATATTTCGATATTTAGATATTCCCTTCAAAAAACAGGAGTTGACCTTGAAAAAGACCTTCAAGGCAAGAATGGTGGTCCCCAATTACTCAACCAACTTTTGTAAAGGTCCATTTCTCGATATCTTGACGAGATATCAACCTGAGAACTTCGAGAAGAGGATTTGACCTTCAAGTGACGTTGAAAATGAAAAAATAAACCACATATCCAAACATAAAATTTCTCACTCTCAGAATCCGTGGTAGAAATTGTATAACCTTCAAAAAACAGTAGTTGATCTTCAAATAACCTTCAACATGACCTTAAAAACTAAATCAATCACGTACGGCAAAATAAAACTTGTCGCTCGCAGAATCCAGCGAAAAAAATTTTATTATCGAAAAAACAAGAGTTGACTTCAAATAATATTGAACACGAGCTAAATTGGTCTAACGGATACCGGATCCGGTGTGTCGCATTGAATTTTTTCCCATTAATGTTAACCACGAAAACAAAAATTTGGATGGACTATCCACCATCACGACTGTAGTTTGACACTTTGGTGCATAAATAAAAATGGGAAGTTGCAAGAGTTGCAGATTTTACATCACAAATTGAAGTTCGCTTCGTTTGTCAGGAATTAATATCGATTGGTACATCTAAAGAAACATTTAAAATGTCTCGTTTCATCCATGTCTACCAAACTTAAGAGGGCTCTATAGCAAATAGGCAACCAGCAATACATTTTTATAGATTTTAGTACACAGTTTGTCTAAATATGAATTAATGCACAAATAACAGACTTTCCTCCATTCTAATGTAGATTTTCTATAAAATGGACTTGATTTGAAACTCATAATACTATTTGGTGTAATGAAATTTGTAATTTACAATGCCACTTGTTCAAAAGCGGCAAATACTAATTTCTTTACAACAAAAAGTAATTTGAGTTTCAAACTAACTCCATTTTATAGAAAATAATATATAGAAATATAGAATGGAGGAAAGTCTGTTATTTGTGTATTAATTCGTATTTAGATAGACTAAATAAAATCCACAAAAATGTATTGCTGGCTGCGTACTTTCTTAGAGCCCTCTTAAATGTTTCCCCGATTTACGCTGTTACGAAAAAGTAATAAAACTATTGTATTTGCCAAACGGCATTGTAAAACTGGACTTCTCATAGTGCTAAAGATATATACAGGGTGTTTCAGGATTATATGCAAAAATTTTAAGTACAAATTGGGAATCGGAAAATAAGAAAAAAAGTTCATATGGACGTATGTCCGGAAACGATTCGTTAAGGAATACGGTCGTTTAAAAATGGCGGTCGAGTTTTAAATTTTTTCCTCAAATTTGAAAACAGATAAAATCCTGAATTTATATCTATTGAGACCTACTACCCGATTGTAATAAAGAATTATAATAAATTGAACTTATTTCATGTTACGTCTTACATTCTTATTATTTAGATATACCCAGTTAGATTAGTCATTGAAATACAAACAAAAATTTTATTTTATTTTTTTACTCAAAAACTAATTATTTCATGATAAAGATGAAAGAGATGAAAAAGTTTCTAAATTAATCTGTCTCTCCAAAAGATGTATTGCAACAATTGAAATCCTAACATGTCAAATGTTTTCATGAAAAATATAGAGGGTGTTGTTGATTTCACCCGTTCCAAATAAGATTATTTTAACGAAAAAATACTGGTTTGATGGGCCTGGATCAGTATAACATCTGTACCAAAATTCAGGATTTTATCTGTTTTCAAATTTGAGAAAAAAATTTAAAACTGATTTTGACCTCCATTTTTAAAGGCTGTAACTCCTTGACGAATTGTTTCCGGACATACGTCCATATGCACTTTTTTCCTTATTTTCCGATTCCCATTTCGTATTTAAAATTTTTGCAGATAATCCTGAAACACCTTGTATATAAACGTATATTGAAAATGTAAGGGAAAAATGAAATCGACTCTTACTGGTTTATTATATGGCCCAACTGTTGTATTCATTGTGTGTAGTAATCGATGCATCTGGCTGGTAATGCACAATTTCTATTTGACAAAAATACGTATCTAAGGTGCCATTACTCGGAAGCAGTGGATTATATGCTACATGTATTGCATGTAAGGAGAAATAGAGTAATATAGAACCAGATTTAGATGGAAAAGAAAAAATGTAAATAACGGCACGTAAAATTACAGGCAAGAAGAATGATGAAAGTAGGCATTTTAGCATTAACTTCGGATCCGTGATCAGCGACCCCGAAAATAACCGTATACCAAATTTAGCGCGAATAGGTTATTTTTTGAAAATTTGGTCGGCCATCTTGCATCCGCCATCTTGAATTTTGCAAAATAGACCTCGGATCCGTGATCAGCGACCGCGAATACCAAATTTGGCGCGAATCTGCTATTTTTTTTAAAATTCGTGATATCTGACCTTAATTGACCTGTTTCTTTGAGGTTAGAAAAAGAACCATCAATTTTGACAGCGGATTCACATTTGACGGGGTCTTAACCATATAAATAAACCTTTGAATATATACAAAAAAATATATTTGTACTTTTTCGTGAATTTTTGACCTGTTTTTTGAGGTTAGGAAATTCCTGTGATGTGATAGCTCATTTCTGACACCGGACTCGTGATCAGGAGGCAAAAATTCTCCGGATAACATATGTCGCATGAAAAGTACAGACAACTTTTTTGTGTGTGTGTGTGTGTGTAATCAAATGTTCACGATTTTCAAGACGAACGTTGCAGTGTGCGGCAAACAAGTTAATGACGAGAAGAAAGTGTTTTGTTTCAGTCAAAGCATATTTCTACAAAATCAAAATAGATCTAAATTTATTACTATGGTTAGTTACATATGGATGTGAAGATATGACAACTTTCACTTGACAAGATATTTTATGGTAATTATTTTTTTAAGAGGGCTCTATAGCAAATAGGCAACTAGCAATACATTTTTATAGTTTGACTAAATATAAATTAATGCACAAATAACAGACTTTCCTCCATTCTAAAGCAGTTTTTCTATAAAATGGACTCAGTTTGAAATATAAATAACTTTTTTGTGTAAAGAAATTTTTAAATTACAAATATCTTTACAACAAAAAATAATTTGAGTTTCAAACTAACTCCATTTTATAGAAAATCTGCGTTAGAATGGAGCAAAGTCCGTTATTTGTACATTGATTCACATTTAGACAAACTGTATAATAAAAATCTATAAAATTGTACTGCTGGTTGGCTATTTGCTATAGAGCCCTCTTAATTGATCAAAAACCTTGTTTAACTTCTATTTTTATTTTTATTAAGGAACAACTGTCACCCTGATTATTGTTTTATTTATTTATTTATTTTTTTATAAGAGGAATTACTAAAAGTTAGTCATGCCGATTTAAAAGTAACGCTTATGTCAAACGTCAAAATCAAGCTGTCGGTTCATTCATTTGTTTTTATTTCTGCGGCAACGATTTCCAGGGCACACTTTGCAAATGAAGGAGCAGGTGTCAATTTAAAGAGTCGCCAAATTGCAGTTATGAATTATTTTAATAAAACCTTGGTTTATAACTTCATACAACAGATAACATTTAAATAAACAATTTAAGCCAATCGAATAGCATTAGATAAACTTTAAACAATCGCTAACAATTTTGTAGATACGCTATTTATTTCAACAAAGACGAGAGGGGGTCCTCGTTCGTTTCTATGTTTTCCAATTTCCTCGTCGTCGGAGGTTTTTGGGGTTTCTTTTCGATAACTTTTTGCACATTTTCTGAAATCGATGAAATAAATGGTATAATTTTTACGGCTTTCAAAAACTAAATGTCGAACATCAAATATAGTAACAAAAGAATGAAATCTGCTTTCCCGTTTTTCGCATATTTATGCAGTAAATTCCGAAATATGATATAAATTTGATTGCTTACCTTTTCTCTTGGAACCGCCCCCGCCGGCGCCCGAAAACAGGTCTTCGTCGCTGGAACTGTCGTTGAACAGGGGTTTCTTCTTCCCGCCGTCGACTTTCTTGTGTGCGCCCTCCTTCTTCGCCCTGTTAGCCCCGGTGTGGCCGAATAATTCGCCGTCGGAATCTTCCGATTCGAAAATGGAACCCTTCGACTTTTCCTCGGTGACTTTCTCAGTCGAAGCGGGGAAGAGGTCGCTGGCGTCGTTTCCGATATCGTCCAAGATGCTGGCGACCCTCGATTGCTTCACGTCCGAGGGTGGAGTTTGCGCTGTTTGGACGGCTTCGGATGACGGGGGTGTGTGGAATAGGCTCGGCGGAGATTCTGGAAGCAGGAGAAAAGAAAATAAGTTTTTCGCTCAGTTCGCAACGAAATTTCAAATTAATTTAAAAAATGCATTTCACCTTGGTACGTCACTGGTTCTACCACTACAGGCTCGAATTTGGTACTTTCCGTCACGACGTCAGCATCGTCGTCACCTTTCACAACTGCAGGCTCCGACGATGCGGTCTGTATAGCCTGCTTGCGCCCTCTTCTGGTCGACGGTCGCCTCTTTATCGGGATCTTTGCCCTATCCTAAAGAAACGGGTGGTTTTTTTAATAAAATTTTAATCATTTTCAGCATCGGCAAGCCTTTAAAACTTTTAGAAAGTGAAAACAAAGTCTTAATGGCGGCGTACCTTTGTGACGCTGTGAAGTACTTCGATGTTATCCAGCGCGTCTTCGAAGCTCACCGCTTTCTCCGAACTCGTGCTCGATCCGTCCCTGCGGGGAATCGAAACGGTAGGCATGAAAAGTCCCACGTCGGGGCTCAAAGGTTGCGTAGGGGTCGTTGTCTGGTCTTTGGGCAGGTCCAGGCTGTGAGATTTCATCATCTCTCTTAGTCTCGGAGGGGCTGCGCCCGGCATCAGGGCATTCACGTTGATTTTGAGGTTGTGTTTCAGCTTGCCGGGTGAGCCTTACAAGAAAAAATATGTAAATTGTACCTTTATTTTTTAAATAAATACATTCGGAGCCTTTTTTCAATGAAACAACACCAAACAACAAAAAGAATGTAACAAAATATGCAAATAGCGAATTCTATTAATTTCATAGCCTTAAAAACCGTTTATTTACCTGTCGGGGGCTTCTTGACCTTTTTTTCACCGCTAACAGCCTCAGCCGACATACTTTTTTGTTCTGTTTCTGTCACTAACTCTTCGGCTTTCGTAGAATCTTTGGCTTCCTCTTTATTCTCGACCTGAACTGGATTTTTGCTTTTATGATTTACCTCCAAGACATCATCCATATTGTCGAAGAGCGATAATCGCTTCTCCGAAAGTTTAGGCGCGTTGCTGCTTTTAGATATGGACGAGAACAACCCGTCGGCATCTGCAGAGTTGTCAAATTCGTCGTCGAAAAGAGAAACAGGCTTCTTGGGGTCGGAAGTAGCAATCTGGCTATGCTGGGGGCTGTCTTGGAATACAGAACTATCACCTGGTACAGAGATGCATTTTCTTGAGTGATGTTGAATTATTTTTATGAAAATTAAGCAAAATTCGCATATTACTGCAATTTTTAGAAGTGATGCCTACTGTTCATTAGAACTACTTTGTTTTAAATCTGACTAATCAGTTTTACCATTAAAAGTAACATACTAGATACCATAAATCAAACATTATTCCTAAAAATAATGAAAATAAGTTTCGGAATGGTATAACACTGACGGTGAAATATATAACAAGATAATTGCTGACTAATTCAATTTTTATCTTGAATTGTTTAATAATTTACCTGAATTCAAATTTATTAAAGAGAATTAAGTAAAATACATATATTACATTCACACATTCACATATTATTGCAATACTCAAAAGTGATGCCTACTGTTCATTAGAACTACTTTGTTTTAAAGCTGATTAATCGTTTTGACCATCATAAGATATTACGAGGTACCATTAAAGGTATCATAAATCAAACAGTATTCCAAAAGATAAGTTTCAGAAGACATAGTGACTGCTGATTAATTCAATATTTATCTTAGAAGTATAAAAAATGTATTACATTTGTGTTACACTTGTAAAACGCATATTACTGCGATTCTCAAAAGCGATGCCTACTGTTCATTAGAACTACTTCGTTTTAAAGCTGATTAATCAGTTTTAGTAACATACCAGATACCGTAAATCAGATAGATATTTCTAAAAATAATGAATATAAGTTACGGAATGGTACTGACGTTGTAATATAAAACAAGATAATTGCTGATTAATTCAATTTTCATCTTCATCTTGAATTGTTTAATAATAATTTACCTGAATTTAAATTTATTAAAGAGAATTAAGCAAAATACATATATTACATTCGTATAACGCAATACTCAAAAGTGACGCCTACTGTTTGTTAGAACTATTTTGTTTTAAAACTTGTTTTAACATCATTTTCTTTTACTGCAGGATGTTTAAAGAACTTCTATTTTCTACAGTGAAAATGACAAGAAACTTGGACCAATTTTTGCCAATAAATAAAAAAAATTGCCTATGCTAACAGCACAAATTGTAGATACAACACTTCCTTCACTTACCCCATTCCTATACTTGGTTGTTTATAAACTACAAACTTGATATTTATAATACTCAAAACTGATGCCTACTGTTCATTAGAACTACTCTGGTTCAGAACTGGTTAATCGATCCTAATTTTTTAATTAATTAATTTATAATTACACTTACCTTTTGAATCTTCTAAATCCTCCAAGTTACCGCTAGGGGTTATGTCTAGATTGCTAAACTTGCTGACTTCCGGTATTTTATCCAGCGGCGGAACGACACTGACGGACTCGGTTTTATTCTTAGTGACGAAGAAACTGTCCTGCGACTGCTGATCGCTGAAAACGTCCGAGGAGAGTCTTCTGGAAGACGATGCGTATGGGTTGAAGAAAGACTCGTCGGTATCCACCCTACGGTGTTAATCAGTTTTTAAAATAAAATACGAGACATAAAAAAAACCTACCTCGTAACGTTTTCGTCTCGTACTATGCCACTAGACTCATTCGGACCGAGTGAGGGCGGTTCGTTATCGAAGAGACTGGATCCCGCTGTGTTATAGTCGATGCGGAACGAAAACTGGTCCTCGTTATCCGAAGACGGGACCGATTTAGTGTCCCAGTCATCGTCATCCGGCGGCGGAGACGACCCGAACAGATTTATAGTAGTTCTAGTTTCAGATTTCTCTACAACATTCGATGTTCCTGGTTCTGAATTGACCATCTGGGATTGTGGGGCCTCTTTAGGGTCAGACTTTACGTTTTTCTGGTTTTGGGCGGTATTTTTTGCTAAAGAATATTGCAAACGTTAAGTTTTACACAAAACCCATCATTTGATCGTTACTAATAAATGACTGGTCAATATTACTGTTAAAAATTATAAATTAACAATTTATTAAATGTGATCAGCCATTATTGTTGTCAAAAAAGAACATCTAAAAATAATAATCAGGTTTGATTAAAGTCACTGCTAATGATAATTAACATTGTCCAAATGACCAATAATTAAGTCATTATAATTTAAAACATAACCAAGTACTAAATATAATTATCATTATTGTCAAAAATTAACACCTAAAAAAATATTCAATTGTAGTTTTAGGTAAAAAAATTGCCATTGTAAATTCATTATGTAACTAAATTGGTCATTATAAATTTTAAAATGACCATTTATATGTCGATCAATCAGTACTTGTAGTTAATGTTAATGTAATTTTTCATTTAAGATCAATTAATTATTAATTATTAATATCAATCATTAAAAGTGACTAGTCATTATACTTTTGATAATGACCTATTATTAAATGTGATAAGTAATTATTAATATTGACAAACATTGATACCTAAACAATATTCAATTATTAGTTGGTTTTAGTTAAAAAAAAATTAATTAAATTTAATAGGTAACTGAATTGGACTTTATTTTAAAAATGACCATTTAAACGTCAATCAGTACTTGTAGTTTTAGATTAAAAAAATGTTAATGTAATTTTTCATTGAAGATTAATAATTAATTAATTATTAATATCAATCATTAAAAGTGACTGGTCCATTATAATTTTCAATTTTGATAATTAAATGTGGTAAGTAATTATTATTATTTACAAAAATTGAGATCTAAGAAAGATTCATTTAGTTGTAGTTTTAGTTAAAAAAAAAAACCCATTGTAAATTTATTAGGTAACTAAATCGGTCCATTATAATTTTAAAAATGACCACTTAAACGTTATTCGATTAGTAGGTGTAGTTTAAGATTAAAAATATGGTACTGTAATTTTTCTATGAAGATCAATTCATTGATAATTATTAATATCACTAGTCATTATAATTTTCACCATGACCAATTAATAAATATGATTATTATTGAAAAAAATATTCAATTCTTAATTGTAATTTTAGATTAAAAGAATTAGTAATGTGTTTCTTATATAAAATCAATTGGTTAATATTATTAATATTAAAAATGACCAGTCATTAAAAATTCCTGATCAAAAATCACACATGTAAATTTACGTGGGTAACTAAAATATTTAAAAAATGACCAATTAAAACTAGTCAGTCAATATTATTATTGTAGATGAGTATTTAAAATCAATAATTAGTTGTATTTAAGATTAAAAAATGCATCTAATTAAAAATGACTGGTCACTCGTATTAAAAAAACGTCTGTAATTAATTTGTAAGTACTTTTCATTAATAAAAAGCAATGTAAATTAAAATGGTCATTATAATTTTAGAAATGAACAGTTATTAAATATCATCGGTCATTATAATTAATTTCAAAAGTGAAAATCTAACAATAATATTCAAATGTTGGTAGTAGTTTTAGATAAAAAATATTGCCAATGTATTTTCTTCATGAAAAATCAATTAGTTGACCATTATTAATATTAAAAATGACCAATCACTAAAACTGATTGGCCACTCTTGTTACTAATAATGATCAGTACATAAAAAATTAGTAATTTGTCTTTTTCTCTAAAAAAAATTGCAATTGTAAATAACAAAATTGGTTTTTAATTTTAAAAATGACCAAGTGATAAGTCATTATAAAAAATTAGTCATTGCTAGTTATCAAAGTTATCCTTTAGAAATAGAAACTTATTATTTTTATTTAAGAGGGCTCTGTAGCGAATAGACAACCAACAATACATTTTTATAGATTTTATTACACAGTTTGTCAAAATATGAATTAATGCACAAATAACAAACTTTCCTCTATTCGAACGCAGATTTTCTACAAAATGGATTTAGTTTGAAACTCAATTAACTTTTTGTTGTAAAGAAATTTGTAATTTGCCGGTTTCAAACAAGAGGCATCGTAATTACAATTATTTTTTTACACCAAAAAGTTACGAGTTTCAAACTAACTCCATTTTATAGAAAATTTGCGTTAGAACGGAGGAGTCTGTTATTTGTGCATTGATTCATATTTAGACAAACTGTGTAATAAAATCTATAAAAGTGTTATGCTGGTTGCCTATTTGCTATAGAGCCCTCTTAACCCTTTCACTGGTCCAGACGTATATATTCGCTAAAAATTTATAGGGCTCAAACTGCTCCAGACGGATTAATTCGCATGAATAGTTAAATTGGATCAGGCTGCTCAAACCGTATATATTCGCAACCATGCGCATTGTGACTCAATTATTGCAATTGGTAAGGCGAATTTTTGCGGGCGAGCTTATACCGATTGTGACAAATATTTTTATGGAACGAGGTACTGGTAATAATACCAAGATTGTTCATGTTTCTTTCAGTTTCTACTTAGTACATATACTGTATTTTATTCAAAATAAAATCGTAAAATTTATCGTAAATCGTAATTTAACACAACATAATGTAAAACTATAAGTAGTCTAACCGCTCCAGACGTATATATTCGCACGCGATAAATTTTCACGCACGGCGCGGCAGCTACGTTCAGACGTATTGCGCAGCGAAAGGGTTAATAATTTATAATATTAAAAATGACCACTACTAACATTAAAACTGACCAGATTTGTCTTAGAAATGACTAAAATTATTACTAAATAGCAACGTCTGGTCATTTTTAACACTATCAGTTAAGAAAAAAGTTTTAATTATTTAGTAGACTATCATACGATTCTAAACATTTCCTTACCAATTTCTGAAGTTTGATCCTCGAACAGGTCAGTTTTCTCTTGCTCTTTCTTCACATTTACCTGCTTGAACAGATCTTCACTATCGTCCTTTTCCAGGCTCTCATCAAAAAGTCCCTTTGTGGTCTTCTGCTCACTCGACGACAACTTTTCCGCACCTATCACCTGCCTTTGGGGCAAGTTTTCGACAGTTTTGGTAGCACCTTTATCTACTTCATCGTTTATACCTACAGTGCGTTTTGAGCCTTCAGTTTCTTTCGTGATATCGTCAATTTCGGTGTTATCACGAAGCAACTGCTCGCTACTACTCGGTTTTATACCAAACAAATCTTCTTCCTTGGCACTAAACAAATCGAGAGTTTTCTTCGGTTTCAAGTCGTTTTCTTGTTCCGTCACGGTTTTATCGACATTTTCGACAGGTTTCGGTATTATACCAAACAAATCTTCTTCGGCAGCGAACAAATCGAGGGTTTTCTTCGGTTTGGCCTCGGGTTTCTGCTCCGTGACGTTCTTATCGACATCTTCGATGCCGGCCAAATCGCTGAACAGATCAGCCTTGGGGGTGTCGTTTTTATTAACGTTTGCGGCGAAGAGGTTTTCGGAGCTTTCGCCTACGTCGTCGAACAAGTTGGACGTCAGCTTTTTCGCGGTGATACCGGAGAACAAGTCGTCTTTGAAGAGATCGTCGTCGTCGTCGAAAAGACTGATTTTCTTGGGCTTTGACGCGGGATCTGGTTTTGCTTCTTCTTCATCGTCGAACAGACTTATTTTCTGAGGCTTGGGGTTTGCTAAAGTGGGAACCGTTGCAGGTTCTTTATCTTCGTCTTCGTCGAATAAATTCGGCAACTTAGGCTTTACCTCTTCACTGTTTTTCTCAGACTTGACGGTTGGTCGAGTTACTTTCCCGTCAACGTTACCGCTGTTTCCCGGATCTTGCTGTCGCGATTTTAATATATTTCCCACTTTTTCCCCGGAGAATATGTCGGATTTCCCGAAAATCGACACTCCTCCTATCGGTTTCTAAAATCGTCACAATAAATACGAAACATTGACAGCAACGGCTTAGGTTTACCTTTTTCTCTTCTATCGGCTTTTTGGGCTTCTCCAATTCCGGAGGTTCTTCGTCGAAAAGCGGCGCGGTCGTCGCGTAAGGTTGCAGGAAAGGTTGTCTCGCTACCGGCTTCTTTTTCGTGGAAAAAATGTCCTCGTCACTGCTATCCTCGTCGGTGTCGAAAGGGCCTTTAGTAACCTAAAAAAACACTTCATGTCCAACGTGTCCAGAAAGTGCATATGTGTAAATGTGTAAATTGACATTTTTATATCTCACCTGCGAAGATCTAGGCGGGGGATCGACCGAGGAAACAACCTTTTCGCTAGACCTCTCGGTTTCCTTCTTAACGCCCTCCGCTCCGTCCGAAGGCTTACCACTAGGCCCTTTGCTCTGCTGGCCCCAGAACAGATCGTCTTCGTTGTCGTCGAAAAGGCCACGTCCCCCGGAAAACAGACCCTCGTGAGCGCTTTTCGGCAGTATCGTGTCTTCCAAGTCGTCCAAAGGAGGAGGTTCGTCAGAGAATAAGTCACCTTACAAAAGAAATAGTTAGGAGAAATATTACAAGGTACAAAACGGTATATTTTACCAGCAAATTTGTTCTGTGCCGGTTGGATGGGCTTCCTGTTGATCTCCGTGGATATATCTTCCCTTTCGCTTATTACGTCGCCAAGTTTGGCGGCGAGTTGCTCGGCGAAGCTCTTACTCGAAATTGGCGTCTAAAACAAACAATGTTGTGTGACTTTCGTGGCTTAATAATGACGGATTTCCGACAAATGGTCTATTGTGGTTAGTATAATAGTCGCCCAGCATAAATAGTGACTATTTTGAATTTATATGGGAGTAACAACAAATAGGTAAGCACGTGGTTTTCTAGTTTCATTGTAATAACCATAACATCCAAGTTTGACTACTTAAAAAGTGCTAAATAGAACATTTTCCCATATTTTTGAAGTATCTAAAGCATAACCTAACATTTTGTTGTACATTCTCCATTGTAACATTATTTACTGCTGATAAAAGTGCATCTAATCTATTAACTTTTGTAAATTTTTTTGTTAGATCTAGAATAAAACATTACCCTAACCTAACCTAAAAAATTCTTTAGGTACAGTCTTATTCATTTAGTCCTTATTAAGAAAAGTTCCCATCTTGGTCCTTGAACCTGTTTCTGTCCTATGATTCACCAGCCAATAGATAGGAATATACTCAAAATTTAATGTTAGGTTATGTTATGATGCGATACAACTTACAACGCACGGCGTGACGTCATAGGTCTCGCGCCTGCGTTTTAAATACTGTTGGAACAAAGGGTGCGAAACTTTGGCGGGAGATTTGAAAACACATTGCCCGGCAATATGGCCGGCTACATCCGTTATTAAAATGCGTTGTTGTAAACAATATATGGTGATGCTGCTTCTAAAACTTAATAGAGCTGTATTAACCTATTTCTTGCAACAAAATTTTGGGTAAAAAATATTTTATGTAAAGGTAAAAAAAATGTATAAAGTTTCATTATTATAATTTCATAGTTTTCGCGCCAAATGTAGTTCTACACCTGACAACCAGTGGCGCCACTGTTGCCTTGTTTCTATGGCATTGAATGGAACTTGCACTCTTTTCCTAGCTGTTCTGTGGTTGTGACCAAAATAATGAACAAATAATGTAAAAATTTGTAGATATTTTTATGATGGTCTACAGCATTTTTAAAAAATTGGCCAAGTTATTTGATAAAAAAAACAGTATGTCTTCAACGTCTGTCCCAAGGAAGTAGTAAAGTCCGTGTTTGTCGTTTACCAGGAGATTTATTGCTTTTTTTTTTCTAAGTTTTGTTTGCCCTAACTATCTGAGGTATTCGACTAAAGTTTTTGGCAACATTAAACTTATATCATTTTTTTTTGTTACAACTGATTCCACAATAGCCTACACGCATTTTATATCCATTTTGTTTTATTCGCTTTACGAACGGCATAATCCGTTACAACTAAAATGACGTTACATGTGAACTACTGAAGTTTTATAATTTACCCTGTAATTAAGATTAAAAAGGCTTCACCTACCTTAACCGGTACGGAACCTTGGCCGTCGCTTTCCTCGTCCGACGCGAACACGTTCGGTTTCCTCGCAGATTCATTAAACGTGGAATTGGCGGCAGGCCTATTGTCGCTGGTCCGGCTGGAGAAATCTAACTCGGAGCTTGTCTCCGATCCTTTCATCTGAAAGAAGAAAAAAAGTATGTTTCCCATGTCACTAGAAAGCTATAAGTTCACAGATAACACAATAATTTTGCTATAAACCACAGCAAATTAAAAAAATTCTATTGCTCGCGACCAAACTTGAGTCTCGAGCAAAGAAGAGTGATAGTAGACCATGAAATGAAACGAAATGAAATAAAGACATAATTGAATGACCACCGAATAAATTAACAAAGATTTGGGTTGCGCGACCGGCTAGGCGTGTAATGCTGTGTATAAATTTGTTTAATGAGCACCAAAACAATCGTAAAAGTGATTAATGAATTTGAGAATATTTCTTTTTTTTAAGGATTTTGACTCGCGTTACATTAAAATTGGGATTTACTATGCTTACACATAAATAAATATAAGAAAATAGAATTATTTAACATATAATTGCTTTTTTATACCCACCGTTGTTTTACACGATGCATTAATGAATTTTTACTGAACTTCATAAATATATTCATGAAAACTGTATCGAATAAATGGGGAATACAGTTTTTGCAAAACTACAGTTGATGCTAAAATTTACCTTGAACTTATCGATAAACAAAAATTTAACCTAACTTTTTACTTCTATTTAAAACAGAACCACCACCAACCAGTATGTTCATATATTTTTTATATTGTTAAACGTAAAGGATTATTTTCACATTTTTTTAGGTATTTTCTTCACACGATTACCGTTTAAAATAAGTAAAGTCACTTACCAAGTCTTTCGGCAGATCATCGCCCGATTCCGAATCGCTGTAAGTCTCCGAAACCTTCTCGGACTCGCTTTCGCTAGAGGAATCGGCAAGTCCGACATGCCATTTCTTGTACCATTCCTCGGTACCAATAACCAAAGGTAGGGGGCGGTCGGCATAAATGTCTTTAGGCCGTAAGATGTAACTAAGAACGACACACTTTTTAAACAAATAATATAATATTTTTGTTAAACGTTTACCTTTTATCGGATTCTTCATCTTCGCTATCACTTATAGATACTTCAACTCTTTCGAAGTACTTATCAACAACTCGTAGGCCTTCTAGGACGGACTCCCGCATCAGCTTCTCTTTTTCCTCGTCAGAGGGCGCTTTTTGTTCAGGCTAAAAATGGATGTCATGCAACTTATATTAAGAATATAAATATTTCCAACCTGAGCTTCTTCTTTAAAGTCCAACGTTTCGTCGTCTTCGTAAACCCTGCTTTCGATGAACTGGGTATTCCGCAGGCTTTGAAACTCGTTCTGGGATAAATTCAACTTCAAATTCACCTCATCCAAACTGTGCAACAGGTTGTTCACATTGTTGCTAATGAGGAGAGTTTTTGAGAACAGATTCTGGAACATTTAATCAAGTCAATACATTAATAAACGGTAGCAAGCTTCGCAAATATACTTCTGAGAAGGCTTTGAGGGTGTTCAAAAGGGCCACGTCTCCCGCTAAAGACCAGTTTTCGGCGTTTTCTATCATCTCCTCCATAGACCAAGGCCTACTCCAGTTTTTCTCACCGCCGCTAGCCATTTTGATTACAATTAATATCACAACTATTGGAATGTTTCACATTTAGAGCCTGTACGTTTTTATCACTACACTTTTTTGAACATCAATGTTTTTTATGAACAATTTCTGTTCAAATAAATAATAAATAAAAACAAATGACAAGTCTCTGTCAAAACGCAAAAGTCAGAAATATGGAACGGCCATTTTTTTGTGGTGGTGAATAGTGATGTTGGCTACACTTCTAATCCTATGTTCATTGGTTATAGCCTCAAACCTCGGACTACTTTATTTATTAGGCTGAGCCCATAGAAAACATAGTACTAACTAGTTAGTACTATTTTTTCTATGTCTGAGCCTCAGACCACAGCCGTGCTCAGACTATAGCCGTGTTTTATTTACCTGTCATGTCAACTATTCTGAATGCTGATTGGTCAATTAGCTGAAATCAAAGCTGTTGCTTAAAATAAAAGGATCGTTTTAGAAGCAGAAGAAGAATAATTGGAGTCGAGGCGTACTAACCTCAAAAACAAATATTGTTTACGTTAACATAATTTCCTAAGCTCAAGAAATGGCAGATAGACTGACTCAACTCCAAGACTGCATAAACCAGGTGAGTAAAAACGCAGCATACGCATTCCCTCCGATAATTTTATCTCCCTTCCAGCAAGCCGAACACTTTTGTAACAGCATCGGTATACTTCAACAATTCGCTCCGCCTAGCAAATTCCCTAATTTCGACAGAAGCGGCTCTCAAACGCCGCAACAACAACAAACCCAGGAGGACTACGTTCAACTATTCACCACGTTGATTGCTAGGTGTGCTAAGGATATCGACACTTTGATTGAGTCTCTTCCCAGTGAGGAAAGCTCGACAGAATTACAAGTGAGTGCAGTTTTTGAATCTGTACGGTTGTAAATATTATACGTTTCAGCTGGAGAGCTTACGGATTCTAGAAAAAGAGAACCAGGAAGCGGCCCAACGGTTGGAAGCCGTCGTCAGGAACGGCCAGGATTTGTTGGAGAAAATCCAAGCCGCGCTGAGCGATATCGCTCAGGCGCAGCTGGACATGCAGCATCTGACCAAGGCTGTGACCGGAGGTAGAGAATGACGGAAGAAGCATTGTGGAAAATTGTGTAATATTGTTATGTTTTGGTTATAATACGTAAGTTTGTGTTTATTCAAAATTCATACAGGGTGCTTTGGAATATGATCTACACGAAATGTATAGAGTGTCACCAATAAAAGTATTCAACATATTTATTATTCTAGTTTAAAAGGACTTGACTTGAGTTGTGTAGCTTACAGTTTATTTAATTTAGCGAGTCACCATAATTTTTTATACATATATAAAGTTCTTAGACGGGATGATCCGCTATAAGTTAGTGAGTAACCATAAATATAATAAAATTTATAAATGTGACAAAAAAGTTCACTCTTTTGACGCAAATTGTGATACAGTTAGAACTGTATACGTTTAGTTAGGTAGCTAATTTTCGCTAAGTTAGCGAATCGTCATAAATTTAAAAAATAAAACTAGGCAAAAAAGTTTTCACCATTCCTTTACAGCAGATTCTGATGCAGTTGGAATTGCAAAGTTTGTTTTTAGAGGAAGTGACCCGCTATAAGTTAGCGAGTCACCATAAATTTAATAAAATATATAAACGCCGTAAAAAAGTACGGCAAGTTGCGATACAATTAGAATTGCTAAAAGTTTATTTTTAGAGGGGGTGACCCGCTAATTAGTTAACAAGTCACCATAAATCTAATAAAATGTATAAATGTGGGAAAAAGTCCACTGTTCTCTTATATTAAATTGTGAAGTAGTCTGAATTGCAAAAAGTTTGAGTTCAAAGTGAAATGGCTCGCTAATGTCAAGTAAAGTTAGTGAGTTAAATATTCTTTTTAAAATAAACGGAAAAAAAGTTCTCACCATTCTGTTACAGCAGATTCTGGTGCAGTTAGAATTGCAAAAGGTTTAGTTTTTAGAGGATGTGACCCACTATAAGTTAGCGAGTCATAAATTTAATAAAATATATAAACACAGAAAAAGTTCACCATTCTTTTACAATAAATTCTGATGCAATTAGAATTGCTAAAAGTTTATTTTTAGAGGGGGTGACCCGCTATAAGGTAACGAGTCACCATGAATTTAGTAAAATTTATAAATGTGGCAAAAAAGTCCACCGTTCCCTTATATCAAATTGTGAAGTAGTCTGAATTGCAAAAAGTTTGAGTTCAAGGTGAGATGGCTCGCTAATTGTAAGTAAAGTTAGCGAGTTAAAAATTATTTTTAAATTAAACGCCAAAAAAAGTTTTCACCATTCTTTTACAGCAGATTCTGGTGCACACTAATTGCAATACGTTTGTTTTTAGAGGTGACCCCGCTATAAGTTAGCGAGTCATAAATTTAATAAAATATATGAACGCAAAAGAAAAAGTTCACCATTCTTTTATGGCAAATTGTGATGCAGTTAGAGTTGTATTAACTTTGTTTTTAGGTTGGGTGGCTCGCTACATATAAAGTTAGCGAATCATCCCAATTTTTTAAAATTTCTGACAAAAGAACTATTTCACTCGTTTTAAGCAAAGTCTGGTACTTTCTGAATTGCAAAGAATTTGTTTTTGAGCGGAGTGATCCGCTAACTTTGAAAGTTAGCGAATCATTCCTATTTTTGTTGCTTTATGGCAAATTCCAAAATTGAAAAGTTGGCCCGCTAATGTTATGTATCTGTAAATTAATTTCAAATTTCAGCGAAAGGCCTGAAAAAAAAAGAAACTCGTAATTCATATCATAATTTTTATTCATACTCGGTAGTGTTTGAAATAAAAACACAATATTTAACAACTATCGCTAGTATTTACAAGAAAGTATAATATATACAGATAAAAAACACATAATTTAAAATTCCACGTGTCATTCCTCACTATACACACTTATCTCCTTTAAACCTAGCATTTCTCCATAAAACGTCCCTCTGCCGGCGGTCCCCACGAAGCTCTCGTCACACGATACATTTATATACAATCGCTACCGCCTCGACCTCGCGTAAACGCGTACTCCCCCCGTCCGATATTGCACGACGGTAACCTTCCCTCCGTCTACCCAGAAATCAACGAAAAAAACTCAAAACGTGCCCCTCGACTTAATTCTCACACCGCGGTGGTTGATATCTCGACGAAACCCGCATCGCTACCGCGCCCCTTAGTTCAGCGTCCCCCGGCATCCCGCCGCGCCGCACAGACACGGTATCTTCTCGTCCTCGATGGGGAACTTATAGTCGTACGTTATCTCCTCGTTGACGCCGATGCTCTGCTTGGAATATATCACGATTTTCTTCTGCGACTCGATCGTTATCACCTTGGCGTAGCAGTTGGGCTAAAAATGCGGATCGTTAGTAGGGAAGTTACGGGAGACAATCGTTTTACGACTTACGTTGCAGCTGTGGTTGATGAACCTGGCCAGGTTGCCGCACTTCGTCGCGTCGATGATGTTCTCCAGGTCTATCCGGAATAAGTAGGAGCTGCCGATGCCCGTCGCCTCGTACTTCTGCTCCCGGAGGTCCGCCACGCTGTGGCGTACCATCTGGCCCACATACTCGATAACCTAAAAAAAATAATTTGCGTTTATAAAAAGTTCCTCTTTAATTTGAGCTTTTCAAGAGATCAGTGCGATGCTTTGTCGCCGAGTTAACTTACCATTTCGTCAGCCGCGATGGGCTCCATGGCGAACAGCCCCCAGTCGTGGATGGCGGACTTGGCGAACCTCAGCTGCTTCTTCCTGAACTTGAGCTGGTTGAATTTGAGGAGGTCGGAGTCCGTGTCGCTGCCGAAAGCAGTGAGAAGCCTCCTCTGGTTCGACCTCGCCTCCCTGGATAGCCCTGCGGAAATAAAACGTCGTTGCACGATTAAACGTACAAAACGACTCGATTTTTTAAATCGTACCTTGCTTGGTAGCTGCCGACACGTTGGCCATGGATATGGCGTGCGACTTGGCGTGGTGGTACTTGTAGCGCGACTTCTCGTGCGCCGAGATCTTGTAGTAGCCTTCGGTTCTGGCGCTGCCGGTGACGTGCAGCCGCTCGTCCTTTTTCCTCCGCTTCGGCGGGGTCGAGTAGAGATCCGTGAGGCAGTGGTCCACCCAGTGGGTGTCGTTCAGCCAGTAGCCCATCGTGTCGTTCGACAGCATCTCCTCGTACGACTTCTTTATGTACTGTATGTCCTCGTGGTCGATGCCTGGGGGAGACCGAATCGAAATAAAGTATAACCGCAAGCTTCGATTCGGTAAAAACTCACCTTTGGTCAGGAACTCGTAGAGGACGCCGAACTCAGACATCTGGTCCCGCACCTTGTGCACCACCGTGCTGTGCAGGTTGTACGGCATCGCCGACGTCCTCCTGTCGTTCTCATCCTCGTAGCCGAGGGTGTTCTGCAGCTCCTGCAGCTTCTTGTGGTCTTTGGGCTTCCTCGGCCGGGGCTGCTTCGGCGGCTTCTCCTTCTTCGCTTTCTCCACCTTCTCCTCCCGCGTGTACCCATGGTCATGCACGATCTGCTTCGCCTGGAGGGCGTCCGCCGCGACCTCCAGGTTCTCCTTTTCAGGCCGCAGCAGGCAGTACGAATGCTCGATCGCCACCTGGACAACATAATTTACAAAGTTTCTGCCTGCGGTAATCGGTATCGACGATATTCAGTCGTTTCGTTTTCTGTCGTTTTTAACGTTTCCCAAACTGTGATCTCTCCGCAAATTATAGATCGGCAGTAGTTGCGATGCGTTTTCCATGCACGAATATATGACATAATTGGATTTTTCGGCAAACAACCAAAAAAAACGGCAATTTCATTCAAAGTTAATAATTGAGGGGGAGTTTCAAAAACTTTAGGTGATTTTCTTAAATATCGTGGAAATACGTACTTACTTAAATAAATAACATGTTCAACATACGGCGAAAATACATAAAAAAAACCTGTAAAAAAAATCGTATTACAACCGAAACCATCACTAACCTGTCCGCAGGGGCTGCCGTCGCCCGCCGAGCTCTCCGACAGCCTCTTGGCCAGCTCCACGTCCCCGTTGATCTCCGTTCCGTTCCTCTCCTTCTTCGCCCGCCTCGCCTCCAGGTTCTCCTCGTCCGAATCGACGTGCGCCTTAACCTTAGAGAGCCCTTGCTGGACGTCTGTCGCCGTCTTATCCGCTTCCTCGTCCACTTCCATGAACGAGGGCGGCTCCGGATTCCGCACCGCTTGGAGCAGTGCGTCCCGTTCCGCCTCCAGTTCCTCCAGGGTCTTCTCCATGACGTCTTTGGATTTCTCGTCTGGTTCCCGACGGGCTTTCTCGGGCGAGGAGGTCTCGCTGAGGGTCTCCTTCTCCTCCTCGACCCGTTTGGGGGCGCGTTCCTCCCTCTCCTTCTCTATTTGTTCCATGTACTCCGTGTTGAGCCGTCGGCGTTCGAGGATGAGCCGTTCCGTGTCGCTCAGGTCGCTGTCGCTGTCGAACAGGTCGGTGGGTAGCGGTTTGGGGGCTGGTTGTTGTTTTGGGGTCAAGTCGTCGGTGTCGATCTGAAATTACAGAAATCGGAACAGTGTCATTGATAAAATTAAAGCTTCCGCAACGTACCTGCATGGGTTCCGGCGTCTTATTCCTAGCCTCGATGCCGTCCCGCAGGGGCGACTCGAACATGTCCATCGAGACGGCCTCGGGTTCCACTGCGGCCTTCTTCTTCCCCTCAGGACTGACGCTGCGCCTGTTGATCTGCTTCACCTCCGTCTCGGAATCCGAAGAGCTCTCGTCCGAGCTGTCCGTGTCCGAATCCGAAGTGAAGGAACTCGACGAGGAACTGCTGCTGCTCGTCGAGCTCTTCCTCGCCCTCTGCGACGTCCTGGTAGCGTCCGAGTCGTAATCCTGCACAATTTCCTCGCTATCCGACACTTTCTGCGTGTCGTCCTCGTCTTCCGGCACGGGCGATGGGATCTTCTTCCGCCTGAAGCTCGGCATCTTTGGTAAGGAAGCCCGTAAGCCTAGGCCGAGCCCTATCGTGTCCAGGTTGATGTTGCTGTATAGGTTCTCGCGGTTCGACTCCAACAATATGTTGATGTTGTCCTTCGGTACGACCTGCTTGTCGGCGAGGTCCTCGCGGTCCTTCGCCTTGTTCTCCTTGCAGCTCTCCTCCTCCCACCAGTCCTCAAACTTCTTGAACGCCGTGTTCTCCACCATCTTCTTGTTGAAGTCCCTCTTGAGGATGTTCTTGAGCTCCTGCGTCACTTGCTGCACCACCGAGTTGATGGTGACGGCGTGGGGGTCGTCTTTATCGTCCTCGGGCCGCTTCTGGGGCATCTGGTAGGATATATAGGGCTGGGCGGCGGGGTGGAGCGTCGGGAATTGGGGGTACTGGGGGTGGGGGAGGTACATGTGCTGGCCGTACGGGTAGGCCTGCCGCCAGTCCTGGTGGCTGTAGGCGAAGGGGGTGGTCGGGTAGGCGGCATACTGCGGTCCGGGGTATCCTGAGAAGTTTTTGATCGTGCAGTAAAGGTTTATATCTTTATACAGGGTGTTGTGCAAAAAATTTCGAGGGTGACATCAAAACAAAAAAACATGATTTGTTTTCAAGAAAATGCAATCCTGTGCAAAAACCTTCAGAAACAGAAAAAAATAATTCATTCCTCTGAAGTGATTTATTTTCATTCAAAGAAGTGACTCTTGCAGAATGGCCAATTGGTTTGCTAACACTCTGTTATATTAAGGACAGAAGTTTGACAGACTTTGTGACAATCAATTGAGTATCTCTCAAAAAACGGTGAATTTTCAACAAAAATAAATGTTTTTGTGTTATATGACCTTTGACATTGTGATCCAAGGCATACACTATAAGAAACCTAACCTCACAATAGTTATATCATAATGCCACAGAAGGATATTAGTATGAGCCTACCAAATCTAAACTTAACTTGGATTTAACTGAATGAAAACGCTTTTCTCAAAAAAAAATAATAATAATTTCATCTTTACAAATGACATCTGACCGATGTCGATTGTAACACTTCAACTACCATCTTAACAGGCTGTAAAAAGTAAAGAGAAAATCTGGTAACATCTTATTTTTAAAATATCTGTATTAGAAAAAAACAGCACTAGGTTTAAAGAAATGATATACAACGGGAGTAAACAAATAACCATTACAACAAACGCTATTTACAACCATATACAAATTCAAAAGTGTGGTAAAAATCACGCCAGATGAGCATATTCAACAAATTCCTCTATACTTAATGAGAGAATAAGAATAGGTCAAAGATTCTTAGCTAAAGCTAAGTTGGAAACAATTATGCAGATAAGTCGCAGCAAAAAACCCGAAAAATCACAACACTTTAAATAATTTCTTTTGTTCCTCATTGAAATGGTAACCAATTTAGAGATTAATGATCCACCAGTTTTTTAATTTGTTACAATTGATAGTAATATATTTGTTACAATTGGCAGTGATATATTTGTTACAATTGATAGTAATATATTTGTTACAATCGATAGTGATATATTTGTTACAATTGACAGTGATCTATTTGTTACAATTTTTTAGTCGAATTCATTTCTCAGAAACAAACAAAATTGAAAGAATCGATATGAGCATGTATCAGACGAAACAAAATGGTCTGTGTCGCTGTCAATTGTAACATATATGTCAGTGTCCATTGTAAAAAAACAAAACACTGATGGATCAGCACAAATTTAGTATTTGTCATGTAATAAGAATATAAATATTATAAAATATAATACTTTAGGTATTGTTACAATTTACACCACGGACCATCTGTTTTAATCTGATTTGTTCCTAAGGGACAATAAAAAAAAAGAAACAATTGATATAATCATTCTCATTTTACTTGTTTCTTCAGCATGTAAATAAAATGGCTTGTGTCGGTTTCGATTGTAACATGTATAAGCGTCAATTGTAACAATACAAAAAAAACTGAAGGATCGGCATAAATTTATTATTTGTCATGTAATAAGAATACAAATATTGCTCTAGATTACAATTTACACCACAGACCATCTGTTTTAGTCAGATTTGTTCCTAAAGGACAATAAAAAAAGAAACAATTGATATCATCATTCTGATTTTACTTGTTTCTTCAGCATGTGAATAAAATGGTTTGTGTTGGTATCAATTGTAACAAGTGTAAGCGTCAATAATTGTGACAAAACAAAAAAATTGAAAGATCAGCATAAATTTATTATTTGTCGTGTAATAATATAAATATTGCTCTAGGTATTGTTACAATTTACACCAAGGACCATCTGTTTTAGTCTGATATGTTCCTAAGGGATAATAAAATAAAAAGAAACAATTGATATAAATCATTCTGATTTTACTTGTTTCTTCAGCATGTAAATAAAATGGTTTGTGTCGGTTTCAATTGTAACATGTACAAGCGTCAATTGTAACAAAACAAAAAAAACTGAAGAATCAGCATAAATTTAGTATTTGTCGTGTAATAAGAATATAAATATTGCTCTAGATATTGTTACAATTTACACCACGGACCATTTGTTTGTCTTTGTTCCTAAGACACAATAAAAAACAAAAACCAAGTGATATAACATTCCGATTTTACTTGTTTCTTTAGCATGTAAATAAAATGGTTTGTGTCAATTGTAACAAGTGTAAGCGTCAATTGTAACAAAACAAAAAAAACTGATGGATCAACTAAATTTAAAATATGTTATGTAATAACAGCATAAATATTGCTTTATTATACATATTTAGGGTGATTCGCGACTAATCCAAGACTTCGGTGATATACGCACCATCAATAGAATAGAATAGAACTCAAGTAATGAAACCATGGCAGATTTGTTTCGATTTTTTCACCCAGTGGACAAAATTTACAACAGTGGAAAAAGTGTTACAATTGCATGAAAAATAACTATTTTTTTTTTAATTTTTACCTCTTAGAGCTGCCTGAAGCATAGCTTGAAAAGAAAAAAAAAATCAATTAACGGCATTACGAAAACAAAAACATTCCATGATATATTTTACCTGTCCCCAATAACGCTGCGCAAAAGATAAAAATACGATTTTAGTTAACCAACGACAATATCAAACAGAAATTACAAAGTAATTAAAATTTTCCACTCACCGGGATAGTGTGGGATCCCCGGGTACTGCGCCGGATACACGCCGGGTATCGGCGGCATGGGAGGCGGGACCCCCGAGGGCGGGTTCGGGGGCAATGGCGGCGGCGGCGGATCCGGCTTCACCTCCTCGATCTTCGTGTCGTTGCTGCTCAACGACGACAGGCTCATCCGGTCGTCGTCCTTCTCCATCTTGAACTCGTTCTTCAATTCCATCCTCTCTATGGGGCTGTAGTTGTTCTGGATGCCCTCGCCCGTAAGTAATTCGTCCTCGCTCGAGGAGATGTCGCTGCCGATCTTGTTCATCTCTATGTGGGCCTTCTTCAGCAGGGCCGTCGTCTCTAGGGCTTCCCGTTGCCTGGCCACGACAGCCTGAAAACCACAAAACGAGCATTTTTTTTTAAATCCTGATTTTCCTAAAAAATTTTGATGTATTCCCCGGCATTTTCTCACCGTTATAAATTTCTACGACATTGCTTTTCACAGTTTTCACCTTGAAAGAATTTTTATTACGAAAAATCGTCATCTACCTGTTCCAAAGCGAGGCGATGGCACTCCAGATAAACGTCCTTGGACAGGAACGGAGACGGTGGCACCGACAGCGGAAAACTCTCGTCGTCCTTGGCGATGTCGATGTCCAGGTCGGGGGCCGGGGGGTTGATCGGCATGTCGCTCAGTGAAATGCTGGAGCGATCGTCGTCGTCGCTGTCCAGGGAAGTGGGTATGGGCAGGTGCTTCGACAACTTTTCCGAGGATTTTGATTCGTCGTCCGAGTCGACGCCGAGGGCGAGGAACGGCGGCGCCATGCCCCCTGAGCCCTTTTCTTTCAGCAGCAGGGCTATCCTGGTGTCCAGGTCCAGCGGCTTGTTTTCTTCCTCTGTCGTTTGAGAGTTGACCTGGTAAAAAAAATATATTTTATTTAACCGTCATTCAAGGGAGCCCATCGTCATAATAGAAACAACAACAAGAACAAAATCAACATTAATGCTGCGATAGCCGGTGCGCCCCCACAGTGCCTAGCCCGAGAACAACCTTAATTTTTTTAATAAATCAAAACGAATTCCTAAAAGAAAAAAACTAACCTTATCCTTGTCGCGGTCCTTCTCCTTCCTGCTCTTACTGCTGGACCCGCCGCCGCCGCTCCTCTTCCTGTCCCTGTCCCGGTCCCTGTCTCTCTCCTTGTCGCGCTCGCGGTCTCTCTCCCGTTCCCTCCACTCTTTATCTTTGCTCTTGTGGGAGTGTTTCTCCTCCGGCCATTTAGGCGGCGGCGCCAGGCTGGCCGGCGACCTGTCCCAGCTCTCGGCGGGCCACTGTGGCGTCGCTATGGGCCAAACGGGGGGAGCGCTCATCGGGTGGTAGGTCGGCGTGGCGTACGGGTACTGACCCGAGAGGGCGGCTATGCTGTGGCTGTGGTACTCGTAACTGGACAAATTTGGAAAATTTTTATAATACATGTCCTACTGTTATTTAATAATGTACGGAGCGTTCCGCATAAGAACTGACATGTCTGCGTCCAGATTCGTCATTAAATAGCATTAATGTTGGTAAAAAATGTATTTATTTATTACTCATGGGCTCAAAACTGTTTAAGTTCAAGTTTAAACTGGAATTAGTATGGTAAGCCGTATCATTGCACTATCAGCGTTGCCATTTGTTACCTTTTTAAAATAATTGGAAAATAATTTCGTAAAACAGATAACTTTTGTACGGATTGGTGACGTAACATTTTGTTTAATAAAAAAATGACATTTTTCACACTAATTTGTTTTAAAATAATTGTCTTTGCCATTTTATCCTGACCATCAAGTACCGAATAAGAAGTTATATATTACAGACTAATCTCAGAACACCCTATATAAATAAAAACATCAACAAACTGAAACTTACGCTAAAGGGGTCGTGCCGGCCGATCCAAAACTAGCGGAGAAATCGCTCGGCGCCGTCCCGTAACCCATATCTGTACTGCTGGGCGTCGCGAAGTCGTTCCTGTAACTCCTGCTGCTGTACCGCTCCCTATCCCGTTCCCTCTCCCTGTCCCTCTCACGTTCCCGTTCTCTCTCCCTCTCCCTGGCCTTCTTGGTCGCCTCGTACTCCTCCAGCTCCTTGGTCTTCTCCTTCGCCTTGTACGAGTCCCGCTCGTCGAAATCGTTGTCTGCTGGGTCGTACGGCTTGTCCTCATTACTCTTAGCCTTCTCTTCGGCCTTGGGCGAGGTCTCGGCGGCCGGAGCAGCGGCGGGGGGCGGCGGTTTCTTCTCCGTCGTGAACTCCTCGAATTTCTTCTTGCACTGCTCGCCGAACGGGTCGAGGAACACCTCGAGGATCTTGCCCATGACGCTGGTCTGGTTCAGTTTCTCTACGCACGCCTTGGCACCCTTGATTGACTCGAAGACCGCTCTGCCGATGCCGAGATGCTTGTTCGTCGACGGGTGGTAGTATATGAATAGCTCTTCGATGACGCCGAACTTCTGTACCATGTCCCGGAGGAATTGTTTGTCGATGTTGTCGTTCAGGTGGAAGATGGTCACCTCTATGGAGGGGGGCTCGCCCACGTAGTTCAGATCTATCTTGAATCTAGAACGAAGCGACATTTTGACAAAACAGTATTTTGTCACACAAAAGTTGCATGTCAATTCTTGTGGTCATTTGGGGATAACAACGACTAATACTGCTGCATATTTTTATTTGAAAAAAAGTATTCGATTAAATAAATAAGAACAAAAATCTAAATATTCGGTTTTTCTATAACTTCAAAATGTAAAAGATAAGTTATTCGTCATCAAATTCGGTAGCTTTGCCCTTGTATCTCTTAAAATAACCGAGATTTCAATGCTGTGGCTCCAAAAAAATACTATTTTTATTTCTTTCATAACTAGAAGTATAGCAAAATATCCAAAAAAGAACTATTCGTGAAATGCCACAAATATACTATTTGAAAAAGTTAAAACGAACAAAATATTTTCATGAATTTTTTAGTGACTTTCGAAGATTATCGAGATAATAAAAAAAGAATTTTGAAGCTTTAAGATTGCAGTTTCAAGATCTTTAGACAAACAATTTTCTTGAGCTACAGTCACTAAACGAGCGACTTCCTGCCTGACCATGATATAAAATTTAAAAAAATTTAAGTAAGTTTACGAAATTCTGTTTAATTTTTTTTTTACTGAAAAAAAAAAGATGTTTTGAAAAAACTTTTGTTTAAATATTTTTTTCCACGAGAGTAGTTTTAAAAGAAACTTCTTTGAAACGTAAGTTAACTTCAAACAAAATATCGTAAATCAAAATGAAATTAAAACTTAATAAATAAGCTAACTGACCGCTTTATTGAGTTTCCGGAGTCCTAAAAAATTGTTGGAAAATATTTTCCAAGGTATTTGTTTTAATTGCTCGATAACCGTAGCTCGAAAACATCTTTTGTCTAAAGATCATGAAAACAGAGACTTAAAGCTTCAAAATAATTTTTTTATTATCTCGATACGACCATGTTTCACTGAGATACAGCCTTTCGATTATCACTAAAAAATTCATGCAAATTCTTTGTTCCTTTAATTTTTTCTAGTAGTGTATATGCTTCGAAATTAAGTAAAATAGGATTAATTGTACACTTTTACAAATCCGAAATTAAACTTTTGAATTTAAACCATACTTGAATAAATGAATACTCCCTCTTTTTTTCCTAATTCTTTGGCTCATAAAAATTTGCTCGTAAATAAAATATTTAATCACTCAAACAATAAAGTATAACCATTTCAGTCCACTAGAAAGTAAATATTATATTTATTTCGCAAATATGTCCAATTTTTTTCACAGAAAGCGAAATTAATTTACAATCAGTTTCAACGCGATCCGATCGAATCTATGCTCCTCCCTCGAATATCCTACTTTTTTAGAATAAGTTGACGTTTTAAATGAAATGAGCTTGCCTCTAATTCGGTTAAAAAAATATCAATTAAGGTGAAAAACAACAATTTATATCACTGATTGACTCTTTTTACAGCGAAAAAACATCGTTAACAAAGTTAGATTACAAATAAGATCGTAATATTAATATTTGAGGTTAGGTTAACACTTTTTGTCAAAAAAATTTCAATACAACTAGTTTTATTTTGAATTCACACGAAAATCGATCCGAACTGTCGGGACTTTCTGTTTATTTTCCATCAATTGGAGGAAAACGTTACTTTCGCACGATTTTCTAGAAAACTCGTCATTTCACAACTGACGAAAATACGACAAAAAATTTACGTTTCTTTACAAACAGCTGCAAAATAACAACCTGGCAGGGCTCAAAACGATATTATTCAGTGTTCAAAGTCAAAATTCAGACACAGACCAAGACTTTTTTACAAGTTCAGAAATTGAGGTTATGTCAGGCAAATTGAAAACAAAAGGTAGCATTTTGTGATAAAATGCCAGTAAAGAACGTCAAAACTTACGGAATTTTCCAAAATTGTGATAAATGAGAAATGTTTATTAATCCGTGCTAGAAATATCACGAGAAATTCCTCCCGAAAAGTGTTTTTACACTAAACATAAAATATTCGTAAAAAGCTATCATTACGGCAGAAGACAAATATTTTGGTTTGCAATAAGCAATTTTTTTCCAAATTGGAGCCTCTGTGAGACATTTTTGTAATTGTGTTGGTCAAAATTTGAATAACCAACGAACCTTGATGTATATTCGAGTTATAAACGTTGTTTACTTTGATTTGCATATATTTCAGCGCGTTCATGTAGGAAATAACGAATTTGTATACATACCTAGGGACAGGTAGGTCCAATGTTTCCAGTCTGGTCCAAATCCGTGTTAGATGCGACCTCGGGTCTCTGGGAATAACCGGAGGGTACGACGAATCGTTCAGCACCACCCCGTCATATCTGTACAGCTTGGCGGCCCCTTTAACCAGAAAAGGATCCACGAGAAGCTTGTAATTCTTCGGTGCCTTGGGATTAGTCTGACCATGACGATCCATCGTGGTTCCGTTCATAATTCTACGAGACAAAAAGGAAAAGATAAATTACACCACTGATACCACTCGATTTGCGACCAAATACTTACCCTAGTAGGCGAATTAAACGGTACGACTCTTAAATCTAGTAAATAAATAATATAAACACTCAGGAATCAACTGGGGTCGAATATAAAAAAGGCGGGCATGATATTGTAGCCGTGATGATTATAGAGGTTGTGTTAACGAAGGATATACCATCAATTTCTAATTCAGGAATTGTTTTAAATACTCGAAAAACACGCGATTTCACGTAAATATTATAGAACGAGATGCACAAAAACTCCTAACCTCCGTTTATGTCAAAAAGCTACTGGGCCCGTCAAATCAAATCTTACAATTCATTGAAGAAATGCCCCCAAGTAACTTCAACAAATATCCAAACCACACCTCAAGCATACTTCGTAAATTATAATACGCTAATTTTACAACAGCAAGCAATCTAAAAGATTAGAATAATTTTATATTTTATTTTAATACCAAAGTGATTTGACCAACACGTAATCGGTATTCACCAATCACAACCGACCAGACGTGCTTTGGTTTGGACACCCCTGTATGAAACCTAGAGAATTACGTAAAGTCAATTATCGCGCAGTACTTTTTAACTCCGTATAAAAAATGTTTTTCGACAGAACCTTCCCCAAATTGTTGACGGTGAAAGCCCAAGAGGAAGCCGAGGAGGAAGAATTACAGGACCCACAACAAATCCTCAGAGTAAATCCATAACCTCACTTTCGCAGGGGCTTGTCTCAAAAAGTGTATTTGTTGTAGGATCAATGCAGGGAAACGGATCACTGCAAGCATTTAGCTGAAAAATACGAGGCGTGCAACGAGAGGGTCAGATCTAAGTCACGTACCACTGAGACTTGTACCGAGGAGTTGTTCGATTTCCTGCACGCCCTCGACCACTGCGTCACCAAAGATCTCTTCAGCAAACTGAAGTAACTCGTAATAACTTGGATAGTTGCGTAGGTTTATTATACAAATGGTGTCATTGTGTTCTTAGAATGTAATAAATATTTAAAGTGGAAGTTTCAATTTTCTCATTTTCGACTGCGGCGAGTGGTTCTTTTCGCAATTAAAACTATGTATCAAGTGAGAAGGCTAGGCAGATTTAGGAGAACGTAAGGGTAGTAATTTTGAGAAGGCACCAAATTTATGTATTATAAGCTTGAAATAGAAATAAAACATTTAGTATCATGAAAAGTTAGTTTCCTTGGAGGAACTTATAAACTATAAATTCAGTAGTGAAATGAAACATAAATCTTTAAATGGATGGATAATACGTTGCAAATAAGGTGAGTTTTTAATAGAAATTTATGAAATATATTTGAATTTACCGCCGTATATTGCGCTACATAACCTAGAATTGAAATTTGAAAACCATCGAGTTTTCAAGTTTACTCGGTTTTTCAATAACAAAAGCGCAATGAACATTTCATAACGAAACTATTATTGCTTCAGTTATTGTTCTGCTTAAATTGTTTGTTGCTTTCCTTTCATAGTAGAGTAAATAAGGTAAATGATAAAACCACAGTTAAAAGTGAGTTTAGGGCAGCGTAAAGGTATTTGGCCGCTGAATAGTAGTGCTATAGAAGTTAAAATATGAAAAAGGTGACCTACCTGACAACGTTTTGGAGCAGTCGTCAGGAGTGAAATTTCTACATCTATCGCTTAAAGATTTGTGCTACGATCGTAGCACCTTTTTCATTACTAATCATACTTCATTCACTGGGAGTCACTTACGGTATTTGCTTTGAAAAATGTATGTTTTATAAATTAAAACACCTACTTACCTACTTTTAATAATTGTACTGCAATTTCTTTTTGAAATTAACGTGTATATCGTCACAATCCTTTAATTTTTCAGTATAGTAAGTAAGATTAGATTAGTACCAATTTTTATGCCTAAAGTTTGTATTGCAGTACGGTAAGTTACGGCTTCCAACCTAACGCTCTCGTCCGGTTGCAAGCGGTTCCGAAAGTGACTGTTATGACGATGTCTAGTAAACGAATGAAACGAAATCGAAATAAAACGAGGCTGTATAAATGTTTATTGGGTTAACAAATAAATATAAGTCTATGAAATTTGCAATAAAATTTGCCGATTACACAATATAAACATGTATTAATAAAAATATAGTAGTATTAAAATACGATAACATATACTTAAAGCATGCAACAAAATAAAGTGGAAAAACGCCTTAGGAGACGAAATATTTTCTTAAGATTAAAAATAAAAAGAAACCGTTCGCTTGTACCCTGAAAATCCGACAGGTTTTCTAAGGATTTTTATTTAGCCCTCGTATAACTTTCAAGATACAAGCTTATACAGGGTGGGCCCAAAAGACTTGAAAAAATTAACATCAGGTCAAAAATAGGTTGAAAAGAGCAAAAATGTACAGAGTGGTCATCTTTATGGTGTCCATCGTTAGAATCTTTCCAGGCTTGCTAGATTCTCATAATTTCATCGATTACTTGTTATGTGGGCGCCATATTGAATTTTTGTGCAGTTAGACGAGGCATAAAGCTACGAGTCCAATGATGTGCCATACCTGGGTCAACCGACGTTATTAAGGGTCAAAAAATGCCAATTTCATAATTATTTAAAGTAAATTTAGTTGCCATGAAAAACAAATTAAAAATTTTGACATCCGACAGAAAGAGCACATTGACTTATGTACGTTACCAGATTTAGTTCAGTTATTTTTAGTATTAAAAGAAAATGTGGGAGAAAAAGTTAAGTTTTCAGTTTTTTGAGAATATTTTGGGAATTATTCTCCTTATTTTCAATTTGGGCCTACTAAATTCTTATGTTTTCATAATCAACAACAATATATTGAATCTCTGTGCATTTAGACGAGACGAGTCCAACGATGCACCACACTTGGGTCAACTGACGTCATTAAGGGTCAAAAAATAACGATTTCATAATTAATTTAAAGTAATCTTAATTGCCATGAGAAACAAATGAAAATTTTGACATGCGACAGAAAGAGCACATTGATTTACGTACACTACCAAATTTAATTCAATTATTTTTAGTATTAAATGAAAATGCGGGAGAAAAAGTTAAGATTTCAGTTTTTTGAGAATATTTTGGGAATTATTCCACTTCACTTCAATTTGTTTTCGTAATTTTTGATGGCCTGAAAATCGGCGACTTTTGGTGTGTGTGCACATAAATTTACATACTCCATCTGTCAGAGTTAAAAAATTTTTCCCATTTGGGTGCCATATTGGATTTTTGTGCTATTACATGAGCTGTAAAGTGAAGAGTCCAACGATGTACCATACTTGGGTCAACTGACATCATTAAGGGTCAAAAAATGCCGATTTCATAATTAATTTAAAGGAATCTTAGTTGCCATGAGAAACAAAATGAAAATTCTGACATCTGATAAAAAGACCACATCGATTTATATAAGTTACCAAATTTAATTTTGTTATTTTTAATATGAAAAGAAAATGTGGGAGAAAAAGTTAATTTTTCAGTTTTTTGAGAATATTTTGGGAATTATTCCTCTTATTTTCAGTTTAGGCCTACTAGAATCTCATATTTTCATAGCCAACAGCAATATATTGAATCTCTGTGCATTTAGACGAGGTGAATCCAACGATGCACCATATTTGGGTCAACTGACGTCATTAAGGGTCAAGAAATGCCGATTTCATAATTAATTTAAAGTAATCTTAGTTGTCATGAGAAACAAATGAAAATTTTGACATCTGACAGAAAGAGCACGTTGACTTACATACGTTACCAAATTTAATTCAATTATTTTTAGTATTAAAAGAAAATGTGGGAGAAAAAGTTAAATTTTCAGTTTTTTGAAAATATTTCCATTGTTTTCAGTAATAAAAAGATTTTGGAGTCAAATTTTAAGTTTTTTTCAGGATGTTTCAGGAACGACTCACTTCAAATTGTTTTCATAATTTCAACCGCATGAAAATATCATCCTAGTTTAGGAGATGCTAGATGTACACCATAAAATTGACCACTGTGTATATAAAGTAAAAAATTTGAAATTCTTCAGTCGGTGACGGAATTTGTCACACCCCGTACAGTTTTTCCTTTTTTTTTAACAATGCAAAACAAGAGGAATGTAGTGTAAGCGAAGCAGACGAGAAAAATCCCCAGTTTTAAGACTTTGATTAATAAATTGCGACTCGGACCGCTGAAAAAATGACAGAAACAGCAGACAAATGCTCTCCTTCGCCTTCTTGACAATTTCGAAGACCAACGAAACAAACGAACGCCAAAACAAACGCTCCGCCAACTTAAACGAGATCTTCTTAAAAAAATAACCGATTTCGAATGCTTTGGTGGGCAATTTTCATAAAAAGTCCGCGGGACGCCTTAAAGCCGAAAAACAAACTTCCCCCCCCTCCTCGGACGTAACCTACGAAGGCGTTCCCTAACTGGCCCCGGTCTTGAGGACGTCGAAGCAGACCCTGCACACCCTGACGGGCTTGTTCTCGCCGAACTTGACGATCGGCACCTCCTGGTCCGAGCACTTGCTGCACAACGCCCTGCCGCAGTGGCGGCAATGGTGCGTCCTTACGGTTATCGAGAAGTTCTTGCCGCACTCCTGGCACGCATCCGTGTTGGTCCAGGTGGCGGGCTGGGACAGCTGGTCGAGCAGGCGGTTCAGCAGCTGCTTGCTCGGGACCTGAAAACGATATACACAAAACGTTGGCGGTAAGTCTACTCTCAAGAATAATGGCACAAAGTGGTTGATGGTGATGGTTTTTTATCCGATCCGGGCAATTACGGTGATTGTTTTTTTGTCGGTATAATTTGATGTCACTGATAGTAAGTGTACCTGATAGTTGAATATCGTCACCCTCTCGTTGTTCTCGGAAGCGAGGCAAGCGTTCGCTTTAACCAAAGCGCGACACAGATTCCCGTTGCCTTTCATGTAAGCTAGGAGGAGCGGAGAATTTCCCTGGAAATAAAAAAAAAATCGGTAACGTTTCCTTTGTTTTTTCTTGCCGACGTAAAAATACCGACCATGATATCCAGGTTGTTGATCGGATAATTCGGCATACACTCCAAGAACAGGTCGCAGATGGCGGCGGCGTTTTCTTTGCCGTACTTGCACAGCTCGTGAAGCGGGTTGCGACCCTGAAATTGACCGAAAATTAACTGGGAACTGAAGATTAAAAACGTACGGGGCGTTGTCAAAGTCGGGACAGACACGATGTAGAACACATAATCGGGTAACTTCACCAAAAATCGCTTTCATGGAATTTGCAACATAACGACACAGAATATTTTCCAACTATTATGGTCTCGGTACTTTTTCAAACATTGTTCTAAGTCATCGCCGTCCATTCGATGCGTACACGGCTTTGATCGGTACAATCATAAATCGATCATTTTTGACGTTTCCTAGAATTTCTCCCTCAATTTCAGCCCTTTTAGGCGTTACAGGTCTTCTCTTTGCTCCTTTAAACACCTTTCAACCAAGTTAAATATTCAAGGCGTCGAGTGATTCCTTTCTGCGTGTAAAGGAGATGCTGTGGCTGCACTTTGTCAGCACTCGCCGTAAATTTAACGCAGGTCTACATGCTGCTATTCACAAGCAGCGCTCAGACTGGGGTTTCGCAGTAAAATAGCTTACACAAATAGAACCACTACAACAGGAAGACCAGAAATGTACTTAAATTTTGCAACTTTTATGTAGGTGATTCTTGGTAAAGTTACTCTTTTTAATATTGTCATTTGTTGTTCGAACATCATAAAATAGATGATTATTTTTCGCTAATTAATAGAGAAAAAATACAGCTACTGAAAATAATTCAAACATATTGGAATTCTGTCTAAATCATTCCCGTTTTCCGCTTGAATGGAAATGCTGCGTAATAAACTAGTCACTAGTCACAAAAATTAAAGGATAAAAATAAAATCCAAAATTTTTATATGATTTTCACAGAAATCCGGCGGGAAAAAAATTATAACATTTTTGCTCCCCTTTCCCACGAGCTACAATAATTTTTTTTTAGGCAATCCTAGTGTCAGCTCTTTTAGTTTGATTCATCCTCTTTAATTCAAGCTGTTTAAGACCTTTGTATGATGATTTGTCATTGAATTCTTGTTGTTCGAAGCAAAAATAACCTTCCTGGCTTTAATAATAATCAATTACTCGGGAACTAACGATCATACAGAAAATTTAAGCAAGGTTTTGACAATTTCAAAAAATCCTCTAAGACATTGTTCTCGTTTTTTGATAAAAATAGTTTTTTCTATGCAAGACACCCAAATCAAAAAAAGGTAAAATGAATATTTAAGAGGGCTATAACAAATAGGCAACCAACAATATATTTTTACAGATTTTATTACAGTTTGTCTAAATATAAATCGATGCACAAATAACAGACTTTCCTCCATTCTAACACATATTTTTTATAAAATGGAGTTGGCTTGAAGCTCAAATTACTTTTGGTTGTTTGAGAAAAGGCTGATATTTGCGCATTAATTCATATTTGCACAAACTGTGTAAAAAATCTATAAAAATGTATTGCTGGTTGCCTGTCTGCTGTAGAACCCTCTTAAGGATTTTTGTTAAACTTGAAATAACAAATAGAAATAATTAATACATTCAGGATATTTTCGGATTATTTTTTTTTATCCGCAAAGTACCTATTTTGCATCTTTACCTTTAATAAATTGAAAATGTTTTTTTTGGAAAAATTCATACTTTTTTTTATTTAAAATATTATAGTGTGTCCGAGATAAGGATGGGATAGCGTTAGGATCTAGGTAAGAGATACGGGTGGCTCAAATTAGAGAAAAGTTGTGTTTTTTTATACCTAACACTATGCCGTTTAGAAAGTTTTAAAATTCCGGGTAGTTCCAAAGAAATATCTGGAAATACACACAAAATTTTGCAAATTCGTTTTCTTTTTTTTCTGGCTTTATTTGAAATCGAATTTTAAAATAAATTGCACATTTCATTGCCACTTTTTTCGCTCTATACAATGGCGTCAACATTAGTGCAATCCGACGTTTTGTCTTCAAGGGGCCATCATCAGGTAAATTTTTTTAAATACGTCACTTGTATTTTTATGACAAAATCTAAAGTCATTTTTAATTCTGAATTAGATGATATTACTATTGAAATTGCTTAAAAAGTATTTAGCTTGTTGTAGTTATCATTTAAAATTTTTCCTGAGTACGGCTCTGAACGCTTTCAAAATATCTCTTGGATGAAGTCATAACAGTTTAAAAGTCAATACCTCACAAAATAGTGAACAATTTTTTTTTAACAATAATTTAAAAAAGTTGTACCTAATAAAAGAATAATACGAATTTATGAAATGTTTTATTATTTTTAATTAGTACTGCTAATCGTTTTGGATATTTTGTGCGGTATTGATTTTTATACTGTTATGACTACCTCCAATAGATATTTTGAAAGCGTTCAGAGCCGTACTCAGGAAAAATTTTAAATGATAGCTAAAACCCTTTTTAGGCGATTACAATAGTAATATCATTCAGAATTAAAAATGACCTTAGATTTTGTCATGAAAATAGCAGCGACGTATTTAAAAAAATTAACCTGATGATGACCCCTCGAAGACGAAACGTCCGATTGCAAAAATGTTGATCCCTTTGGATAGAGCAAAAAAGTGGCAATATTAATGTGCAATTTATTTTTAGGGTTACTTTTGAATTTTTGTTTTGTTTTTTCTAGTTAAAGCTGATGGTAACGATATTTGTGCTAGAGATTTGCGGAAGAAAACAGCGACTAATTGGGGGGTACACAACATTTTGCAATTAATTTTTAAATTGACATTTGAAAACAAGGCGGAAACCCTGGTTAAAGGAAAGGACAATTTTTTGTGACGATTATGATGAAATTTTCGAAAAAACTAATTTTTTTTCATTTTCTTTTGTTTTAATATTAACATTTTTTGAGGAAAGCAAATTCGTATGGATTTTTGCAGGAAATAACGTTTTCAATTTAAATTGAATAAAAGATGCAAAATTTATCCTTCATCTGATTTTTAAACAAAAGTAACAATTTCAATAATTCGGATCACAATGAAAGAAAAATCGCAGCAGTTTGAACCCTTGACGGTTTCTTTGGGACACTTTATGGTTAAAAAAAAACCAAAAATATCCTTAGTCTACTTATTATTTGTAAAATTATCTCAAATTTATCAAAAATCTTTAAATACGTAATTTTTTTAATCAAGTTTCTTGCATCGAAATAAATTGTTTTATCAAAAAACAATAAGAACGTCTTCTAGAGGATAGTTTGAAGTTCCAAAAACCCAGCTTAGATATTCCGTGCGATCGTTAGTTCCCGAATAATTAATTATCAAAACCGAAAACGTCATTTTTGCTTGGAACGACGATAACTCGGCGAAAAATCATCGTACAGACCTCTTGAATAGCTCGAATTAAAGAGGACGAATTATAATAAAAGAGCTGACAGGCGGGATTTCCAAAAAAAAATCATTGAAACCCATAGACTTTTTGAGTTATGCAAAAAATTTCAAAAAATTTTTTGCGTTGTATTTCTTACGATTCCTTAAAGGTGAACAACAATATAAAATTTTGTACTTACATCCTGAAACTGGAAACTTAGAGCTTTTTTTTTATTGCTCTGCGATCACTTTTAGTGAAGTTAGTCTTTCGAAAATCACTAAAAATTTAGAATAATAAAAAAATAAATAAAATGACCCTGTATAACGAAGTGTTGTTTTCATACACCACCATCGTTAATAATGCACCGTCAAAAGAATGCGTTTCTTACCTTTAAATTGACAGCCTCAGCGTCTATCGACGACTCGGTCAGCAGAGTCCGGACGACGTTCAGATGTCCCTCCCTTACAGCGATATGCAGTGCGTTGTCCTTCTCCACGTCCACTGCGTCGTACTTGGCGCTGTTCTGAAGCAACGCCGATACGGCGGGGGCATTGCCGGCTTCCGACGCGACGTGAAGAGCCGTACGTCTACAAAAGTCGAGAAAAACAATTTATGCGTGGAAAATTACAGCGACGACCTCCTACTTTTGAGCATCCGTATCGTCGACCCTGGCGCCGGCGAGGATAAGGCTCCTCACCAACGTCTCGTTGCCGTACCTCGCCGCCAGGTGCAACGGGGGCGTCAGCATGGGATCTTGCACCCTGGAGTTCACGTCGACCTGTACGGTTAGTAAGAACAAAGCGCTCTCGATGTCCCCCTTCTTGATGGCGATATGCAGGAAGTTCTGACCCTTGGAATCAAACTGAGATAAAAACACATGAGTAACGACTTAATTTCGGTGTTTTTTCTTTGTACCTGCTCCGCGGCACTCGGCAACTTATCTAAAATAGCCTGCGCCGCCTTGTTATTCCTAAACGTCAAGGCGGTGGCGAAGGGGCTCAAGCCGGATTTGTCCCTGAGGCTTAAGTCGATTTCGGGCACGCTCAACAGTAAGGATATGATCTCGTGGTGTTGGTTTTCGATAGCGATGTGTAGCGGCGTCTTGTTCTCGGCATTCCTGCTGTTGACGTTCGCCCTATGCTCCACCAAAGTCTACGAGTTCAAATTACATGCTATATCTTAAACAATATATAAGTCGTGATAAAAATAATAACAAAATAATGTCTTTTTGAATATCACGATACGGTCATTTTTAAAATTTAAAAGGGTCATAAATTTTAATGCTACAAGGACCACTTTAAAACACGCCACTGATCTATCTCTTAAAGTTTCTAATAGATTGCATTAAAAAAAAAATATAGTGTGGTCATTTTAAAAAATTTTAATGACTAATAAATTTAAAAGTTTAAAATGACGGTTTTGGCTATTAATTTTCTAATCATATGAATTCGAAAATTACTTGTAAAATTAATAGTAATTAAAAAATGAACATCAGCTATTTAAAAAAAAAAAGATTTATGATTTTTAAAAATCATTTTTATAAATTCCAAACTTCAAGTATCCAAGTCCTGTAATACTTCTTTAGTATTCACCTTCTTAAAATGAATGGTTAAAGTAAACATTGATTTGACTAGTCATTTTTAATAAATGTCTGGTCATTTTTAAAAACTATTGTAATCGGTCATTTAAAAAAAAACATAATTAGTCATTTTAAATTAATAATGACCTATAATTTTTGAAACACAGAAAAACAAACTTTTTTAAAAAATAACAGCTGTTATCTTCAGAAATAAAAGTGACCATTTTTCAAATTCATAACTATGTCACTTCTAAATTTCAAAGTCTGTTAATGAGTTTTAATGCTATTATTATCAATTATCTAAGAGAGAGAACAGTTAATTTAAACATAAGTTTGATTAGTCATTTTTAAGAAATGCCTGGTCATTAAAAAAAAAACACAATTGGTCATTTAAAATTAATGAAGACCCCTCATTTTTAAACCATAAAAAGCAAACAATTTAAAAAACGACAGCTGCTATCTTCGGGAATAAATGTGACTCAAATTCATAACTATGTCACTCCTAAACTTCAAATGCCAGTTAATGAGTTTTAATGCTATTATTATCAATTATCTAAAAGAGAACAGTTAATTTAAACATAAGTTTGATTAGTTATTTTTAGGAAATGCCTGCTTATTTAAAAAAAACTAATTGGTTATTTTAAATTAATGATGACCCCTCATTTTTACACCGTAAAAAGAAAACATTTTATAAAACAGCTGTTACTATCTTTAGGAAAAAATGTGACCATTTTTTAAATTTAGAAGTCATTTCTAAATTTTGAACTTCTAATACTATCAGTATCTAAAACTGAACGGCTAATTTTAATGTTAATTTGGCTAGTCATTATTATGGTCTGGTAATTTTTAAAGAACCACTAAATTGTTGAAAATTTAATAGTTAATTTTAACATTAATTTGACCAGTCATTTTTAAAGTAACGTCTGGCCATTTTTAAAAAACATGATTGGTCATTTTAAATTTAACAATCACCTGACTATCATTTCTAAAAAAATAACTCGAAAAAAGTGTTTTCAAAATCAGTTATTTTAAAAATCCAGTTCTTAAATTGAATTATTAATTTTAATATTAATCATTCTAAATACATTCTAGCCATTTTGAAAACACATGATTGGTCACTTCAAATTAATGACAACTGGTCAGTTTTAAAACCTAAAAATCGATGATTTTAAAAATAACATTATTATTATTAATTTCAGAAATAAATGTTCTCTTTTTTAAATTATTTACTGTTACTTTTAATTGACTGATCTGTTTAAGAAATTTTTGGTAATTTTTTAAAACCATTGTGACTGGTCATTTTAAATTAACAACCAGTCGATTTTAAAATTAAAAACCAGTCAATTTTAAAATGTAAAAACAATACATTTTAAAGAACACTAGTGCTATTTTCAAAAATAAAATTTACTTTTTAAAATTCATAACTGTCATTTTTAAATGTCAAACTTCAGTTCAAAGCTAACATTAATTTGACTTGCCTTTTATAAAAAATATATGGTCATTTTTAAAAACCACCATGACTGGTCATTTGAAAATTAATAATGACTTGTCAATTCTTGGAAAAAAACTGTTTGTAGCTATTTTTAGAAAGAAGTGATGACTTAGTTTTAAAATCCACAACTATTGTGCCAAACTCCAAACTCACCCTTACAACAGGCTCCAACCCCCACTGGCAACACAAATGAAGGGGCGAGGATCCGTCCTTCGCCTCTTCGCCCCCTTCGCCGTTGGGCCCCGGCATCCTAGGAGAGTCCAAGTCGCAGCCTGCCTGGATCAGGAACACAGCCGCCGATTCCTTGTTCTCATCGATCGCTCTTAAAAAAAAAAAAGTAATTTTAAGTAGCGGGTACATACTTAAACACGTTCGCTACCTATGTAGAAGCGTCTGTCTACAATCGTCGGGACCGGGCCCCCAACAATCCGTATCGGCCCCGTGTCTGACCAGGATGCTGGCGATATCCTCCTGGCCCGAGTCCAAGGCCGCCCACAAGGCGCAGTTGCCCAGCCTGTCGGGAGCTGACATGTCGACACCTCTAGTGCAGAGGGCGTCCACCACGTCGCCAAGCCGGCAGTGGATGGCCAGTTGGAGAGGCGTCTCGTAGTCAGCAGTCCTACAAATAATTTACGTCTGTTCACTAACGCAATTTTTTTGTAATCGAGGGTTTAAAGTATCGTTTTATTCCTTAGTCAGAGATAAAGCGAAACTTCTAGTTCCTTTAGAAAACAAAGTTTGCTAAAGCAATTAATTGCTTTAAACGAGTGTTGTGTGCATGTGGATGGGAAGGCTGTGACGACGTTAGCTTGACGGGTTGCCGTGTTCTCGGTTGTTTGATGGAATGTTGGTATGAGCACAGAAACCACAACACCCACATAAGGGCAAAAGAGTTAGAGACTGATTAAGAGACTGAAGGCGGCACAGGTGGCGCCCCCTAGGGGTTAAATTAAAATACTGGACATATCATTGTTTATCATCCAAAAAAACGTATAACGACTTTTGTTATGGCAAAGAATCAAACTCACTTGGCATTAATGTCGACACCATTATCCAGAAGAAAAATGGAGGTCTTTGAATCCTCTTTCAGGATAGCCTGGTGCAGCAAGGTGAAGTCTTTGCCGTTTCGTACATTAACGTCGGCTTTTCCCTTAATAAAAAAAATTATGTATCAGTTGTAATGTTAAATTTTCTCACCTAACCTAACTTTTAGTCGGTAAGTGTTTAAATCCAGATTTAGCATAAGTAAAACTTAAAAATCTTCACGAAATTTTGGCCTTTGCCAATTTTCGATGGTGATGAATTTGAACCTGAAGTTATTTTGTGCAGTCGAACCTAGTTTTCGAGAAAAAATTTTTTCAAAATTCTAACCTTTACCCTTAACGCATCATTACTAATTACAACTAAACTTTACATTTTTTTTTACAAAAATGATCAGAAAAAGACATCAGGATCCCATAAAATGCTTACTCGTTCACATTAGATAAAGTCAAGTTTTTATTTATGGATTAAAAAACGAACTTAACCTGACCTAACCTAGCTTTACCCTCAAATGTCACACTTGGGGTGAGTCACACTAATGCGAATTGGGATTTTGCCAACTTTCAAACTTTATGTCTTCTTTATTTGTTAACAAAAATAACATATTTATACCAAAACTGGGGTAAAATTTTCCGAGAAATTGAGTGATGTAATTAAGTTTGTAAAACACATAAATTTTTTTTTAATTCGTATTTCTTTAATAAATAATGGTTAGAAAAAAAGTAAAAAGAGAATTTTGAAGTTCAAAGTCTATATTGTTAACAAAAAAATACCCCTTATCGATAAAATGATAATATGGATTTTTTCCGGTATCTCAAATATAGCCATTTTTTGGAGCGAATCTGGTGTCAGAATTAAGCTATCACATCACAGGAATTTCCTAAACTTAAAAAACGTGAGCAGGTTAAAAATAGCAAAAATTCACGAAAATTTTGAATTTGTTTTTAAATTTGATCGGCCATTTTGGATCCGCCATCTTGAATTATGCAAAATTCACCTCGCATCCGTGATCAGCGACCCCGAAACCCCCGTACACCAAATTTGGCGCGAATCTGTTATTTTTTTGAAAATTCGTGATATCTGACCTTAATTGACCCGTTTTTTTGAGGTTAGAAAAAGAACCATCAATTCTGACCGGGGTCTTTCGATCGGCGGGGCCTTAACCATATAAACGAGCATTTGAATATAGAAAATTTTTTTTTTTGTATCTTTCCTAGCGCTTGTGAATTTTTGCTATTTTTAAGCTGCTCACGTTTTTTGAGTATAGGAAATTCCTGTGATGTGATAGCTCAATTCTGACACCGGATTCGTGATCAGGAGGCCAAAATACTACGGATAACATATCTCGCATGAAAATTACAGACAACTTTTTTTTTGTGTTGCTATTAATGAAAAAAAAATGTTTGAAAAAGATTAACAATAACTAAATAAACAATGTTCTAGTCTACTCGACACGTAAAATGAGGTTAAAAACATCGAAAATTTGCGTTTCAATTCACTTTATTTCTAGATTATATGATATAAATCCAGCCATACTTTTGCCCACACTAAAGTCACACGAGTGCGAATTCGCATCGATCAGATTATTCACACTCTCTAGTTTGACCGACAATAACAGACCGAGGCCAGCTGTGGCACCGCTCGACTGTTTGGGCTATATACAGGGTAGGAAAGTACTGATGGTCTATCTGAAGTTACGTGAGAGCGTTAAAGTAAGCCATAGAAATCCATGTGATAGACAAGGATGGGTATAGTGAAGGCGTCTAATAGTTACCGCCCATTTCGCCCTTCCACAAATAAGAAGTGGATCTTATTTCCTTATTCCTTGTCTATCACATGGATTTCTATGGCTTACTTTATCTCTCTCACGTAACTTCAGATAGACCATCGGTACTTTCCTACCCTGTAGAAGGAATTATCGTAGTGGGGGAACCCTCGACAACTGCTACCTGAGAAATTCCAGCTGCAGAAAAAAAATGGTGGTGCGAATTCGCACTAGTGTGACCTTTGAGGGTTTACGTAGAATTTTATCTGTCTTTATAAAGATATGTTAAGTCGGGTTGTTTTTTTTATGCGTCATTCATTTGCTACATTAAATTATAAAATCAAGTTACCGACCAAATGAATAGGTTCGCATTCAGCACCCTCGAAAATAGTGGGAGCAGGTAAAATTTTAAGCATTTTTTAGAGTTTTAGACTAGATTAAACGATTACCGTCGATTTTCTCACACAATCGTCAAAGACCTACCCTTGTGGTAATTTTTTCAAGTACTCACCTGAATCAACAGCGGAACCAAATGGTTGTACCCCTGGTTCAACGCCAGGCTTATCGGCGTTTCGCTGTCTATGTCCCGGGAATTGAAGTTGCACAGGGTCTTCGATTCCTCGGCGCCACCTTTAAAAAAAATTATCCGAAACTAAATGTCGCCCGTTTCGTTAGCACATTTTTTTTTATTCGAGTGTAGCATTACCTGCAGCCTCGACGTCCTCGTTGTACCCTATAAAAGCACTTATGCAGTCCGCTGAGTCGCTCCTAACGGCGTAGTGGAGCGGCGATTGGCGGAACTCGTTCGTCAGCAAATTCGGATTGGCGCCTCTCTTCAGAAGACCGCGGACCAGCTCCGAGAAGTTTTTCTTACAAGCCAAATGAAGCGCGGTCTCGCCTACAACAAACAAACAACAGTTACGACGAAAGATCTTCCAGGATCCGGACGTATTTACCGTCTACGTTCACGTGGTTCAAGTTCTGCACGTGCTCGCTCAGAAATATGGCGGCCTTCTCCGTACCGTTCACGATCAGCGTCTGTAACAGGTTGTTGGACGTCTCCGAGTACAGGGGGTCGGTCTGGGCGTCGTGTCTGATCAGACTGGCCGCGTAGGAGTCTCCGTCGTCGTCGCCCGCCTCGTACTTGAGCAGGGCGTAGTACAGGGGGACGTGTTGCTCGTCCGTCTTGAGATTGACGTTCAGGTAGTCCTGTTTGAGGAGCAGATCGAAGATGGGGCGGTTGTCGGCCTGGATGGCGATGTGGAGGGGGGTGCTACGGGAAAAGTGAGGTTAGAATAAAGAAAATAACGTCGTAGTTTCAACCAATCAGCAGGCTCGTTTTCTGATCATCAAAACAAGAGAAAAGGGTTGTTAAACAGTTATTCGCTTATCCTCTTTTGTTTTTTGTCAAAGACGGTTCTTTAAAATCAATTTTTAATCGTATTTTTTCCAAAAAAAACAACGTAATGCCCTGAAATTTGATAGAGGTGAGGTTTTGAGGGTATTTAATATAACAATGTTATTAAGAGGTCGTCAGCTACGATTCCATCCAGTGATATCTTATGACATAACTTTTTTAGGTTAGGTTGGTTATGAATACTGTAATGTAGAATTTTTATTTTATTATTTTACATCAGAATTGCACTGTTGTTGAAATCGATGAAAGCGCATCGTTTATATAACATAGACCGCAAGAAATCTAACTTCGAAAAATGTATGTCATGAAATGTCAGCGGGTAAGGCCGTATCTAGCGATCATAGTCCAGCCACTGAAGCATTTTGACTACCAATTTTTTCGGATCGAATGGATTGACGTGAAATTTGAACTGTAGCTAGGGAATAGCCCAAGAAACAAAAGTTATATAGTGCCGATGTGTGCTTTTACCCTAGGGGTGGATGCCACCCCTTCTGGAGGGTGGGATTTTTTTTGTTAAAAATAACCTCACGATTCGATAGAGGAACGAATTCTAAGCAAAAAATGTTTTAAAAGAATTTTTGTACAAATTTGTGTGTTATTTGCGCCTAAACATGTTCATTTTTAGCCCAAAAAATGTATGTTTTTGAGCCATTTTTCGCGAATATCTCAAAAACTACAACTTTGTAATGAGTCGTAAGCTTTCTAATAAATAACAAAAGAAATGCAATACATTGTGAATGCACCAAAACAATATTTTAAACTGTTAAAAACTTTTTTTTCTATTTTTTTGGCCATGGAAGGGTAGTTTTTAAGGATTTTTAAGCGTTGAAAAGTAATTAAATCTCATAAATTATATTAAAAAAACATGACAGGAAATTTAAAATACGTAAATCTGCGATTTTCGCATTTTTTTCGTACAAGGGCAGTTTTCACCCCCAAATAGAAAAAAGCACACATCTAGACAATATGACTTTTGAAGTGGGGGGTCAGATGAGCTTGTATGCAAATATTCAGGAAAATCCATGCTAACCGAAAAAATTGGGAGCTTTCGTCTTATTTTCGCCTTCCAGTGACTGGACTATCACCCTTAAATATTTGGCCATACCAAATTTCATTCATATTCCGATAATTTCAGACATTTTCGTATATCAAAACACCCTCATGGCAAAAACCTCGATCAGTTCCAACCAAAAACAAACGGGGAAAATATATCGGAAATCGGAACATCAGGTCGCCCTTTCCCTTGCTCGTTCGCTTGTTTTCATCGAACAAAAAAGCGACATTAACCCACCCCTCCCCCCTATGTAAATAAAACTGCAGACAAAGACATTATAAAGCTAATTAAAAGCGAAAGGGGAGATGTGCAGCCGATGTAAACACTCCCAGCGACCTTCGACGAGCCCCTTTTAATTAAGAGGGGTCGTAAAAAAGCTTATCTCTCGTATAAATACCAACGTGACCGAGGGCTAGGTCGTAATTACGCAAATGTATGCCATATAAAATAATAATTCTAAATGATTACTATACAATTTACATAATTAAATCCTTACACCGTTTCCAGACGTTATCTTTTGCGGTTTTTCTAGCAACAGAAAGAAACGATAACGACTATAACAGCCGGCTAAGAAAAAGAAAAAACTGTCTCACTGTTTGACCCAAAATTTTATTTTTGTACAGTATTGCCAAAAACTATAACAAAGACGAATAGTGAATAAATAAAATAAACAATAATTTTTTTTCCTTAGGNCTTTGTAATGAGTCGTAAGCTTTCTAATAAATAACAAAAGAAATGCAATACATTGTGAATGCACCAAAACAATATTTTAAACTGTTAAAAACTTTTTTTTCTATTTTTTTGGCCATGGAAGGGTAGTTTTTAAGGATTTTTAAGCGTTGAAAAGTAATTAAATCTCATAAATTATATTAAAAAAACATGACAGGAAATTTAAAATACGTAAATCTGCGATTTTCGCATTTTTTTCGTACAAGGGCAGTTTTCACCCCCAAATAGAAAAAAGCACACATCTAGACAATATGACTTTTGAAGTGGGGGGTCAGATGAGCTTGTATGCAAATATTCAGGAAAATCCATGCTAACCGAAAAAATTGGGAGCTTTCGTCTTATTTTCGCCTTCCAGTGACTGGACTATCACCCTTAAATATTTGGCCATACCAAATTTCATTCATATTCCGATAATTTCAGACATTTTCGTATATCAAAACACCCTCATGGCAAAAACCTCGATCAGTTCCAACCAAAAACAAACGGGGAAAATATATCGGAAATCGGAACATCAGGTCGCCCTTTCCCTTGCTCGTTCGCTTGTTTTCATCGAACAAAAAAGCGACATTAACCCACCCCTCCCCCCTATGTAAATAAAACTGCAGACAAAGACATTATAAAGCTAATTAAAAGCGAAAGGGGAGATGTGCAGCCGATGTAAACACTCCCAGCGACCTTCGACGAGCCCCTTTTAATTAAGAGGGGTCGTAAAAAAGCTTATCTCTCGTATAAATACCAACGTGACCGAGGGCTAGGTCGTAATTACGCAAATGTATGCCATATAAAATAATAATTCTAAATGATTACTATACAATTTACATAATTAAATCCTTACACCGTTTCCAGACGTTATCTTTTGCGGTTTTTCTAGCAACAGAAAGAAACGATAACGACTATAACAGCCGGCTAAGAAAAAGAAAAAACTGTCTCACTGTTTGACCCAAAATTTTATTTTTGTACAGTATTGCCAAAAACTATAACAAAGACGAATAGTGAATAAATAAAATAAACAATAATTTTTTTTCCTTAGGATCGATTAGTGTACTTATTTTTTTTTTAATTTTGATGAATTCATAGATATACAAGTGTCTAAGATAAGGATGGGATAGCATTAGGATCTACGAAACGGTAAGAGATACGGGGTGGTTCAGATTAGAAAATAGTTGTGTTTTATATGCCGTTTGGAAAGTTTGAAAATTGCGGGTAGTTCCGGAGATATCCGGAAAGATCCGAAATTTTGTAAAATTCTTTTTAATTTATTTTCTGGCTTTATTTGAAAACGAGTTTTAAAATAAATCGCATATTTACAATGCCACTTTTTCGCTCTATGCAATGGCGTCAATATTTTTGCAATGCGACGTTTCATCTTTGAGGGGCCATCGTCAGGTTAATTTTTTAAATACGTCGCTGCTATTTTTATGAACAAATCTACAGTCATTTTTAATTCTGAATTAGATGATATTACTATTGTAATCGCTTGAAGTTTTTAGCTTGTTTTACCATCACTTAAAGTTTTTCCTGAGTACGGCTCTGAACGCTTTCAAAATATTTGTTGGATGAAGATAACAGCGTAAACGTCAATACCGCAGAAAATAGCCAACAATTTTTTTTTTACTACTATTAGCAATACTAATTTCACATTTCATAAATTCGTATTATTTTTTTTATTAGGTACAACTTTTTAAATTATTTATTAAAAGAAATTGTTGGATATTTTGTGCTGTATTGACTTTTATACTGTTATGATTTCCTTCAATAGATATTTTGAAAGCGTTCAGTGCCGTAGTCAGGAAAAATTTTAAATGATGGCTAAAAACTTTTTTAAGCGATTACGATCCATCATCCAATTCAGAATTAAAAATGACTTTAGATTTTGTCATAAAAATAGCAGCAATGTATTTAAAAAAAATTAACCCAATGATGGCCCCTCGAAGATGAAACGTCGGATTGCAAAAATTGCTGACGCCATTGGATAGAGCGAAAAAAGTGGCAATGTAAATATGCAATTTTATTTTAAAATTCGTCGCGTCAACAGTAGACTTTGCAGTTAATACTTTGTACTGCTGAAATCTCAAATCATCCAGAGTCCAGAGATAATTTATCATTCGTATGTACACATTTGTAATTTGACTTAAATGTCAAGCAATACTGTACAAAAATTGGGTCAAACAATGAGACACAGTTTTTTTTTGTATTTTTTCCGTAGAATTGAATGGTGTAATCAGTTTATGATTTTTTTTTAATTTAAACAAATTTTCAACTGTAGGCATTTTATTATGAACTTAAACTTGCCGCCCGTTGTTGTTGGTGTGAGTGTGAGTTAGGGAAGTGGGGAAAAGAGAAGGAGGACGAGAATATGTTTTATAAGGTTAAGACACATCAGTGTTACCAGATCTCCTGTTTTCACTCTCACTCTCCTGTTCTACTGTTTTCACTATGAGATCTCCTGTTTTTAGTTTCAATGTCTATTCTTCTAGTTTATGTATGAAATGTTCTGTTGATTATACTAATTTTCCCCAGAATAAGAATATTTTAGTACGAGACTGTTCTCTATAACGGCACTGTGTTCGTCACTTGTCAATATTTTCAGTTCTGTTATATTTTCTGTAGCCCAGTTCATGTACATATTTAAATTTCAAATTCGCAATTCGCGTTTATATGAACTGGGCCTATAGTCCAAGCATTCTGTCACTGATTAACGTTAAATTTGCAGAAATTATTACCTGGACAAAAAAAATATGACCGTATAGAAAATTAAATTTTAAATTGAGTTTCTTATTCTTTAAACTCGATCGAAAATGGCGAACATGGTTAAAAAAAATCGCAAAATTGCAAAAAACTGTTTTTCCAAAATAACTAAAAAAATATAGCACCGATCGAAAAATTTTAAATGAGAAAGTTGTAGCTTTTAAAAAGATCTATCGACTGATTTTTTGTAAGTATCGATTGCTTTGTTACTTTTCGAAATATATTTAAAAAACCGTTAAAAATCTTCTCTTTTCTCTTCTTCTATAACTCGTTTACATTTACGTTCCCATATTTGCTATTTACTGCAAGCATAGCCCGCGGCAAGCCAAAAAAGTACATTTTTGAAAAATTTAAAAATATTAATTATTTTTCGAGATATATCGATTTTTTGAAAAAAAGGCGCTCTCGAAAATTGGCTAGATCTTCTCAGCGGATAGCCCTACAGTAACGATTTTCGGTTTATTTTCTTCGTAAAGAGTTATATTATTATGCTGTTAAAAAATGTTGACGATTTTATCAATTTTAAGGATCAAAAAATGACTGAAAAAGTTGCACTTTTTTTGGGTATGTTTTTTTAAATAAGTATTTCAATTTTTATTTTATGAAAATGACTTTTAAACAAAGAAACTGCTGACATTTTTTCACGAATTTAAAAAAAAATTCTACGACCTTCTGGAGCCGAGATAATTCTTTTATTTAAAAAAAAAAAATTGAGGACGCAATTAACATTTTACAGCGATGCGCTTGATGGAGGTTAACATCGTGCAAGCGCTGAGTGCGTCAGCTTGACCGGACGGAGAAGTAGGGTGAAGCGGCGCGCGCTCGCTCTAAAAACTGATGACGTGCAGTCTAAATGGCTCGCACTTGCAAAATCTTTGATATCTCGGCTTCTGAACCACGTACAAAAATCGTTTTGTGCATAATCTGGGGTAGCTTGACGAGATAAACACGAATATTATAGTCATTGTCGCCTTAGAAGCAAAATAATCCCGTAATTGTTTAGTTTTCATTTAACTTACATTTTTTTTTTTTTTATTATACTTCACGAAAATATGGACGACGAACAAGAAAATGAATGAAAAGACAATCCGACAAAGAAAAGAAGAATTTCATTCGATAAATAATTTTATCTATATAGGATACTTGTTAGTTTTCATTGTAATGATTTTATAGATATTTTATACATTGTTGTATAATTATTAAATATTTTTATAAATAAATTAAATTCTTTAAACTTATTTTACACCAAAATTAATTAATTATTGAAATGATGAAGTAATTGTTAAAAAGCCAGAGACGAGTACAACGTCAGTATGATTAATGAAGCAAGAAAATTAAGGTATTACACGAAAAATACTGTATTAATTATTAAAATGACGATAAATACAAAAAAATTTAAATTAAATAAAAACTAAACATTTACGGGACTATTTTGCTTCTAAGGCGAAAATGACTATAATATTTCGTGTTTAGCTACCCCAGATTAAGTTCAAAAGAATTTTTGTACGTGATCCAGAAGCCGAGATATCAAAGATTTTGAAAGCGCGAGACATTTAGACTGCACGTCATCAGTTTTCAGAGCGAGCGCGCCCCGCTTCCCCCTACTTCTCCGTCCGGTCCAGCTGACGCACTCAGCGCTTGCACGCTTCAGTTTATTACTCAATTACTAATACTAAAAATCAAGTAAACATATCCTACTATTTTTTTTGAAAATATAAGTATTCAATATTAACCTTCATCAAGCGCATCGCTGTAAAATGTTAATTGCGTCCTCAAAATTTTTTTTAAATACACAAATTATCTCGGCTCCAGAGAAAAACATTTTTTTTTAATTCGTGAAAAAATGTCAGCAGTTTCTCTCTTTAAAAGTAATTTTCATAAAATAAAAATTGAAATAGTTATTTGAAAAAAAAAAACCCAAAAAAAGTGAAACTTTTTCAGTCATTTTTTTATCCTTAAAATTAATAAAATCGTCAACATTTTTTAACAGCATGATAATATAACTCTTTACGAAGAAAATAAACTGAAAATCGTTACTGTAGGGCTATCCGCTGAGAAGATCTAGCCAATCTTCGACAGCGCCTTTTTTTCAAAAAATCGATATATCTCGAAAAATAATTAATATTTTTAAATTTTTCAAAAATGTGCTTTTTTGGCTTGCCGCGGGCTATGCTTGCAGTAAATAGCAAATATGGGAACGTAAATGTAAACGAGTTATAGAAGAAGAGAAAAGAGAAGATTTTTAACGGTTTTTTAAATATATTTCGAAAAGTAACAAAGCAATCGATACTTACAAAAAATCAATCGGTAGATCTTTTTAAAACCTACAACTTTCTCATTTAAAATTTTTCAATAGGTGCTATATTTTTTAAGTTATTTTAGAAAAACCGTTTTTTGCAACTTTGCGATTTTTTTTAACCATGTTCGCCATTTTGGATAGAGTTTAAAGAATAAGAAATTCAATTTAAAATTTAATTTTCTATACGGTCATATTTTTTTTGTTCAGGTAATAATTTCTGTTAGCATTTCTCTATAATGCTTGGACTACTAACAGAATAGAATACTTCAGCGGGATTCCGGGATTTATCATTTTGACAACTGACAGTTGTCAAATCACGTGACGTACCGATGTAATTGAAAACTATTAAACGAACTCCTACATTTATATATTTTGCTATATTTTGTGCATATTGTGTTCCTCTAAAAAAATATACCTATTTATTAAAATCTCCTGTTGAAAAAAGAAATCTCCTGTTTTTTGGCTACATTCCTACTGTTGACAGAAATTTCTATCTGGCAACACTAAGACACATGTAGTTAAGGTTCATGTTAGAAGGAAAATACAACTTTGAAGATTGAAGTAGTTTTTATTTTTGTGAAACTAACCATCCTGCCCGGCCCCTACACAACAATTACTGAAAAATTCATTGTTGCAAGTCATTTTTTATTTTTTTGCATTTTTGAACTGTGATTACAGATTTTTTTATTTCACCAGAGTATGTGTCAAAAAGAAAAAAATGATCACCGACAGAATTCTGTACGATGATTTTCCTAAGTAGAAATTTTCTTTGAAAAAAAGTGTTTCAGACCGGAAAAAATGAATACCGAGAATGAATAATCTCGGAAACTTCTTGATTTTTTTTTCCTTGAAATTTGTGGATTTCCAGAGGATGGAGAACGAGCACTGTGGCGGAAGGCTACATTGAAGACTCACTTTTTTTATTCAAAAGTTTTGAATAAAGAAAATATTGCGAAAAGAATACTAAATATTGGTAGTGGTAATGATAAACGAAGAACCGTTGTCATTTCTGATTTAACATCTGAAAAATATAACTACGAGTATTAATGAAAGCGTTGTGGACAGTTTTGAGAATTGCTCCAAGAATGAGGGTAGTGGCAGTTTCAATAGTTTATTTAATTTTAATACTTTTTAAACTGTGTATTTAATATTAATGCGAATAAACCAAAATTGTTGTAAATATTGTTGAATAATCTTTTATAAATTAAAACATGATTTATCACTTTTAATCTAAGGATACCATTTTTTTTTTCACAGTCAACCTTAGAGAACTTCTGACAGTCAAAAAATGTCATAGTTTTGTGAGAGCATTAAAGGATAATAACAAGTACATTTATGTCGATAACAGAACCTACTTCCAGATTTTTATAGCCACGATAAATTTTAAGTGAATAAAAGCAAACTTACTACCCCTGCCGATTCTGACAGTTCACATTCACGTTTTTGTTTATTAACTTCTCGGCTATCTTTTCGCATTCGTCGATGTTGTTGGCACCGGCGATCAGGTGTAGAGCAGAGTCGTTCTCGTTCCTGAAAGACAAAAGTAGATCAATTCTCGAATATGCCCAATTTTTCTATTCGCACCGCTTATGCTACAATTCACACAATAAGGTGCAACAATTATCGATCGTCAACTGGTCGATTCTCAATTTAAGAAAAATATCCTGATTTCATCCTCACCTCGTTGACAGAGAAGCGTCGCAGTTCTGCTCGAGCAAAAACAACGCCGAGAAGGAGTCCTCCTTCTTGATGGCCCTGTGCAGGAGGGTGTCCCCGTCCTTGTCGCGGATGTTGATGTCCGCGTTGTGCTGCACCAGAGTACGCGCTATGCTCTCGTTGTGGCTGCGGAGGGCCAGGTCCAGGGGTAACTCGCCGTTGGGGCTCCACAGGTTCACGATGTCGGAGAGCTGGAGACAATAGGAAAGTGTGAAACCAAGTTAGTCCGTCGATCGAAATTGCATTGGCAACCCTGGTTAGTTGTCTACGTGCAAAACTGAGATCGGCCCTGTTCACCAGATCTAAAATTACACATCTGCCGCTTCCACGAACTCCTTCTAAACCGAGGATCGCAGAGAGCCGCGCGGCAGATGTGGAGGTTTCTGAAAAAAAATCCGACGAACGGAAACCCAGCGCTGAGCAACGCGTGACTCAGGGCGCAACTAAGTGGCGGCGGTCACCCGTTTCTTTGACTCCGAACGCGTTTTGCCCCGCGCTCGCGGCCACGTAAGTGGATACATTTAATTATTCATGATATACAGGATGTGATCGATAACTGTGGACTTTTCCAGGTCTAGCAAGCGCTGACTTTTTATCTATAATGAGTCAGCGAATGGAAATTCAGTAGAACATAATTAAAAAATAGGGACGGCGTGTTCTAGAGCGCAAAAGGTTGTAAATATACAGGGTGATCGAGAATGGTTGACCGTGCCGCCTCATACTGATATTTGATGTGCGGCATACCAGTTTTTGATACCAATACTAGAATCATGAGCGCAGGTTGAGGGATTTTAATGGTAAACAAATAATTACGGTCAAACGTCAAATAAATTAGGTTACTGTCAAAATGGAAATTCATAATAAAAATATCAATTATTTAACAAAAATCAAAGTTATTTCACAAATTAAGCAATACTGATGGACCAATAAATGTTATTATTGTTATTATTATTAAAGAGGATGACAGAATCAAATGTAGGTTTAGCCTAACTTTTCCAAAATTCTTATTTCATTTACAATTAGAAAAACTTTTAAATCAAAGTTTGATGTAGCTAATTTTGAATAACGACTGTAAGTGCTTCAGCGATTTTATTTTTAAAACGTTATGAGTTAATTTTAAAACAGAAGCACTATTGTGGCTACATTCTTGGCATCTAAGACGATTCAGCTATACAGCGATACGCTGCAAGCTGCTGTTTTTCATCAAAGCAAACTGCTGTATGCTTATAAGACGACTATTTTGCAGCTACTGCTTTCACACTTCTGAATATCCAGCGCAAGCGATCCAGCCCAAAAATTTATGCTGAACATTTTAGTTAGCTGTCGAAATTCAGGAAAAGTGTCTTAAAAAAATTTGCTTCAAGCAAATGCAAGCAGTTGGAAGTGCTTGATTATGTTAGATGGTAGGATTGTCTGTATGACCGAGAGCAATAAACAACAGTTACATGCAATATATAATAACAGAGTAATTGGAATTTTTTCACATTTTATTGAATATTTTACCTTAAAATTACATAAAATCCATAAAAATATCTATATTTTTACAATAAATGTTCAATATGATGTCCATTGTTGTTCAAGCAGGTATTAATTCTTCTTTTCATATTATTAAATACATTCTGTAAAACATTTTGTGTAATACTCCTAATTTCGTTTGTAATTGCCTCTTGAAGTTCTTCAATCGTGTGTAACCGTTGAGCAAATACTGAATTTTTTAAAAAACCAAATAAATAATAGTCTAGGGGTGTAAGGTCAGGAGAACGTGGTGGCCATCTATCTCGACTAATTATTCGATCATCATAATACTCTCTAATCAACTCTAAAGTTTCGTTAGAGGTGTGAGCTGTTGCGCCATCTTGCTGAAAGTATCCATGATGGATTTCATCGTCGTGAAGTTCCTCAAAAAATGGTAACAATATTTGCTGCCGATATACCTGCCCAGTTACATTTTCACGGAAAAAATATGGTCCGATTATTCTTCTACGTGACATAGCTACCCAAACACCAAGTTTAATAGGGTGCAGAGTTGTTTCACGCAAAATATTAGGGTTTTCTGTGTTCCAAGAGCGATAATTTTGGGAGTTTACGTACCCACTTAAATGAAACCACGCTTCATCAGAAAAAAATGTTAGATCTAGAATATCGTCGTCATTCAGATTTTCGTTAAACCAATTACAGTATTGCACACGTTTTCCAAAATCTAACGGAAGTAGTTCCTGCACAACACTAACTTTATAAGGATGAAAATGCAACTTCTTTACTGCTTTATGGCATGATCCATATGATATTCCTATAAACAATTTAGGAATAATGATACAAATTTTAGAATAAATATTTGTTATTAAGTACCTGTTTGAGCAGATAACCGACGTAGTGATTTGGTTGGACTAGCTCGTAAGCGGTTTTCAACATCTTCCAAGACTTCCTCTGTAAGAATAGACTTTCTGCCTGGAGATTTTCCTCTACAAACACTTCCAGTGTTATGGAAGCGTTCCACTAATCTCTTCACGTGTCTCGAAAAAATTTCATAATCAATTTCATCATTTGGAAATTGTTCTTGAAATTGTAAATGACACGAATTCATCGAATATTTCCAACCATTACCATTGTTTTGTCCACTACGAAAATAGGCCTCCAGAAGAAATTTATCATGTTCTAATGAAAATGCCATGTTAACCTAAATTAAAAAACCGATTAGGTTAGAGAACAACATACGCAATAAATTAATTACTAACGTATAATATCCACCTACTCTAACTGTAGTATTGAAAAATACTGTTTTATAATGTCGCAAAATATATCATGTAACAAAACAAAATCTACAAAATAATATTCAAGCCAAAAAATCCGTGCGCCAATGAACAGAACGTCAAATTGTGAAATCACCACAGAACACCATGAAATCGCACGGAAAAAAAAGTAATTTTAGCAAACGGAAATCAGTTTTGATAGCAATTGAGACAAGGGTACGTTCAGAATCCGGTCAATCATTCTCGATCTCTCTGTATAATAATTGGTATCACGGGAGCCGGATACCCCCCAGTAGTCGGCACCTATGTAAAGGATTGATAATTTATTATTAAAGTTTTTGTTTTATCGCACAAAATACTTTTTCCGTCGAGAAAATACCGGAAGACAATCAAGTCAACAATAACAACGTTTCGAATCGCTATTTCGTATTAGAAGAATGCACCGCCCCTTCCCACACGCTCGACAGGGCACACGACCGAGCGTGACGTCAGACGCGGCCGCCGCGATTTTTTACGTTCAGTCTACAGCCGACGATCGTCGCGGCAGCACGGCCAGCCTCGACAGCCGCGATAACAATTGCACGCGTCAAACGCGCTTATCAACGAGGGCCCTGGCGAGAGGAACGCGCTCGTAAACGTAAACAGTTGAAGAGCAACAAGTCGACCGGCGACATCCAATCGGACGCCTCTTGTGGTCATTCCGAACCCAACGGCGTAAACAAAGTGGAATTCGTGCCATTTTTTTTCAAATCAGTGGACTAGTTCGGGGAAAACAAACCGAAAGCGCGATTGTTATTCAGTGAAGTGTCGATGACGAGTCGTTCCAGAGAGCGGACGTCGCTTTAAGGAGTCGTGGAACATGACAAGTGGACATGGGGAGCCTTAATGTGTCTTTCATCCTGTCGTTTGTGCTGTTTTTGGAGTGTAAGGGTCTTTCCAATCGAAGGTGGCAATAAAACCGAAACGCTTCCTCTGTTTTCGTCGGTTGACCGTTTTAATAATAAACAATGCTTATTTCGGGATCTGATAACGCTATGTGCAAGGTTATGCGATTGAAGTGTTTCAATTTGACTCGGCGTTAAAGAAAGTTCTACAAAAATATATGTTCGTCGATTAAAATAGGGGTTTGACGACTTTAACGGGATTCTGAGGTTATTATAAGATAATTCGGGATAACTTGACATAGTCCTGTAGCCAAGGGGGTCCCAACTGCCTCCTTCATATAGATGGAGTTACCCAAGTATTTTTTGGGTAGAAGTTTGCCCAGAGTAAGTTTTTTATCAACAAAAATACTGAGAACTGAGTATTTTCTTGTTATCTGACCCATTTTAAGAAGAAAATGTCTCTTGCAATTTTTTTGTTAAACGCATAGTTTTCGAAATAAACGCCGTTAAAAACTCGAAAAATGCAATTTCTGCGATTTTCAATTGTTAATTACTTTTGATTGAATAGGTATTTTGTCATTCTGCTGACGGCGTTTGAAAGTTCACGTTAAATACTACAAATTATGAGTAATTGCAGTGTGAAAATTTGTTTTTTCAACTATTATTTGAAGCTATAAACAAATAGCGATTGAGCGTTCAGAAGGGTGCGCCGCCATGTATGTAAGAGAGGGGTTGCCTTCTTACAGAAACAAGAAAATACTTTTTATTTTGCCAAAAACTAAGTTCACAGTATTTTGCAAGTTTTTTGTTAATAAAAAACTTATCGACATCCGGGCAAAGTTCTACCCAAAAAATTCGTGTTCTGCAGCTCAAAATACACAAAAAAACACTTGGGTAACTCCATCTAAATGAAGGAGGCGATTGGGACCCTCCTGGCTACAGGATTAACACGTCAGTTAAACAAATGCAACATAATTTGCATTTTTTATCCAAAGCATGCTTTATTGCGCGCAAAACATTAAATATGTTTTTTTTAATAAAAAATGGTACACAAAAAAGTCGTAGTTAACTCTTTAATAATGGTCCTTAGCAATTTTTGACGAAATTTTACAATCATAAGAGAAAATAAAATAATTTGACGTAGGGCAATGTAACAATTGCAAAAAACATTCAATGTACTTTTTTAATAAAAAGTTGGCTAATATTTGAAAAAATTGCAGATAAAAACAGAAATTATCTAATTGATTGTGTTCTTCATAACCTTAAAGTTTGGGCACAACTTATTTCAAAATTTTAACGAAATAACGCAAGTGTAAGAAAATCCTGAATAATTTGACAGATGTCAACAAAACTATTCAATGTTTTGTTTCCAGAGCATGCTTTGTTTACTTCGCAAGAGACTAAGGGTTATCACAAAACATTAATTATTATACAGATCAAAAAGTCGTAGTCTCTCTCTATTTCTCTATTTAATAACGTCCTCTTGGACAAATTTATAATTTTTTTAGGGATTCTACGAAAAATATGTTGAATTTTTAACTAAATTCTAATAGCCTATTCATTATTTGTTTAGACAAATCATCAGGAACTTTATGTGAAGTAATTTATTAATTTAATAATATATTAAAATAAGCGCCCAACGAAAAAAATGTCGCATTGCAAAATTTAAATGTAGTCAATTTAAATGAAAACCTAAAATTTCCGAAATATAATTAAAAATTTACAATTTAACTGCAATTCTACAATAAGTATAAAAGAAAAATAGATTATTTCAAAAGCCAATTAAAAGTTCTGAAGCCAGTTCTCTGACCAATAGTGACACTGTACTATTACTTCTATCCCTACGATTTAAATTTTTTACTTTTACTTCCCGTAAAACTGTGGGCAATGTCAGCAATTAGAAAGACCCTCTCGCCCCGCATATCTAATGCTGCGACAAACATATTAAGTCTCAAAACAATAGCGAAATTGAAAATAAAATAATAAACTTTGTGGTTATGTCAAACTAAGATGTCCAAAGCATATTCCGTTTACTTCCCGAAAATTAACCCAAACAGCTTATTAACGTCCTTTTAGTTTGTCAAGCCGTCCGTGAAGGAATGGTCCTCAAAAACCAATTAGGTATATCTAGTTGTCTGCGAGGGAAAAAACGCGCGGTATTCCACCGCCACCCCGTACACACCTTAAAGTAGTTCTAACTGTACAATTCAAACAACATTTCACGGCGAATAATTCGTTGCGGGCAGCGAGGCGTCGGTTTCACGGTCTACGAGGTTCTTATTTTTCACAGAACGAGTCCAGCGAAATGATTTTGCGGTTTAATCCGAGAGCGCTGAAAAACTAATTAAATTAGTTATTAAAAAGTCATCTGCGAAGGTGCTTAAGTGATTCAAGTCGATGAATCATCTTCGTGATCCAGTATTAATAAATTCATTTTTTTTTCTAATTCATTCATTTCAAGTCATTGATTGAATAAATTTAATAACTTTAGTTGCTTTTGTTTTCGTATTTCCAATAAATTATTTACAAAGCAAATCGATGTATCGAAACGTTCGTACTACGTTAGATGTTTTTTTTACAAATTTAAAAGTTTGTAGTTCGTTTATGTAACTTTTTCTTGCTCTAAGTCGGCGGTAGGCCTTGCCGAAACAGATGTTTCCCCATCTACCCTCCTAAAGTCAGTGATCGCTCTGTGCTCTGTTTTAGGTTATGTTTATTGTAACATTAGGCACCTTCGATTTTTTTTTGCACAAGTCGATTCAATCGAATAGTTTCCGATTCCTATTATATGTTTTTAAAATTTTAAAGGTTCTTTTTTCACGTAAATTTGTGAGGAAAAAAGATGTACAAACTTATGAGGGTAAATGAAATCTAAAGAGTAATTCCGAAGGAATCGAAAAAAAAAAAAGATATTTTTTTTCTGTTAATATTTATCAATGTCATACTTAAGACTGTTTACTTTTTTAATATAAAACCTTACTTGTGAAAACGGCCTTATTTAAAAATGGCAATTCACGTCAAATTACTGAAAACAGTTTCAAATATCGCTGTATACCATTGTTCCAACACGTAAACAATTTTTTAAAGCTATCATAGCCGCCCTCCTAGCGTGTACATAAACCATTCACCCTGCTTTCGCGATTTTCGGTCGAGATATCCAAACGCCTACTCGAAAAATATTAATAAACAACACTCGACATTCCTTATCGCAGTCTCGTGTAAAAATTTGAATTTCATTTTGGCGCACTGGCGATGAATCACCGCTTTCTGCTTCGCACTTTTTAGTCTGACGGGCCATGTGTAAGATTATCGCCGTTATTTATCGTCTTTTCTCGGTAGCAATAACCTTAAATCTACGCTATTTTTTCGACGCAGACGCCATCAGAAAACGCCTTTTTCGACAAGACAACAAAGTAGGCCTAGGACATTGAAATATTGTACTATTTTTATAAATCTAGAGAAAATCTAGATAGCGCTGTGTGTCAGATATACAATATGGTATGGCGAATAATGACCGATTATCTAATGAAGTGAAAAATTCATTTGTCGACTCTTGAAACTTAAAAATGAAGTACTATTTGACACCCTGTGAGTATAATCATCATATATCGCCGCAAAAAGCAAGTAACAAAAGTTTTTACATAGAAATTATAGTTTATGCTACCACTATGGGGATTTTAGTGATTTTTAATATTTATCAGTACCAAACTCTATACAGGGTGTCTCACGGGGACGGCCCATTAGAATTATTTCAGAGACAACTTCGATTTGAATTTTGAAAATTTGGGTTACCGGGTTTTCGGGAATGCCCTTCTCGACTAAAATAATGGCGTCCACGTACCACTTCCGGTTATACCGAAAGTCGCCATCAACTTGCTTATTTTAAATGGAACACCCTATATATTATTGTAATTTTGGATTCTACGTGTTATTTTAGGTGGACATTTATGAAGTTTCCCTATTCCTAAAATTAACCGTTTTCGAGATATTTAATTTTTTTCAAAAAAATAGAGAGAAACACTGACTAGCTTCAAACCATGTGTATTTTATAATAAGAAAGATAAAGCAACAATATTTACAGGGGGATAGCTAGACCACTAAGCTTCCCATCCATACTTTCAAAGTGGCTTAGTTGCATACGCTAGAAATTTAATGCCGAGTTTAGTTAACTTCAAACCTTCATAAGTCGATTTTTTTAAATGGAACACCCTGTATGTTTTTCTCAATTCTGATTTTATTCTCTTTCGAACGGTATCAGGGTTCCCTATACTAATCTTTTCTAGTTTTTAAGTTATCTACTATTTTTTGTGTAATCACCTAAAATCATGTAATTTCTTGCGAGGATAGCTGTGGAATTTTTAGCAAAACTTCAAAACAAACAACTAAACTGTCAATTTGTTGTTAGTCTCTTGCAGTGACAGTTTGTTTAATTTAGTGTTTATAAGAAATGGAAAACAGTACATATTCAAATGCTGATATTTTAAATTTATTATTCAATTATAAACAGAACATGTACAGTTTTTAATGAGACATATTCAAATTTGCCACCAATGAGAAGAAAAGAGTTAAGAAGAATTTTAGCAAATCAACTAGAGTATGGTCGAATTTGTGCAGAAAGAATATTACCAATCCGGGTGACGTCGTGCAACGTGTACAATTTTGTGAAACGATGTTAGTGCGATACCAAGAAGATCCACAACATATTAAATGGACAGGCGAGTCAAAATTTACGAGAGAAGGTATTTTTAATAGACATAATACTCATTTGTGGTCATCTGAAAATCCTCATGTTATCCGGAAAGAAACTTTCAAAATAATTTTTTTTTGTCTAATTAAAGATAACCAAACTTACCTACGAAGAAAATTTAAATGCTGACAGATATCCCAATATTTTGCAAACGGTTGTGGCAGATTTTCTAGATGAGATACCTTTAGACCAACTAAGGAAGTGTTGGTATCAATTAGACGGGGTTGCACCTCACTTTCACATTCAAATCGATCAACAGCTGACTGAAATGTTTGAAGAGAGACGCCTAGGAC